GTGAATAGCAAATAGATCAGAGTAATGAGTAGTATTAATGATAATAAGAAAGACTAAACATTTAGAATATGGTTCTAAAATAAGGAATATAACAATAGAATAAGATTGTGACATCTACTATGATGAAGTTAATTGAAAAAATGAAGATAGTGAATAGCCCTGTTGAGCGATTCGTCAAGTTGTTGATTCCGACGATAGTTTGCTGTAAGATGTAATTCGATCAGGTGTTCAAGTAAAAAGTCTATAGAAGGTGTATACTTTTTTTGGGACACCTCCCAATAACAAACACTAACAATGCTTCTGAGTTGTTGGAATCAACTGCTAGTTACAGTTGAATGTTAGTATGTGTTTTAAAGCCTGCCGAAGAACAAAGATTCGATGATTACACCCGCGGCTAGGTATGGAACCAGTCTCATACCCATTTTTGTACTGTATTACTATTCTTTCGTAAACAAATTCTAATGACTCAAATTCTTTATAATGGGAGCCAGTTATATTCTAAAAATACGCGATTCCTATTCTAAAGATGAAAAAACAATCTTTTTTTCATGAGCGGAAGCCATACTACTTTTTTTCGTGGAAATAGAATTTTCATTACATAAATTTCTTCTTTTTACACTTTCCAGTATTTCTCCACTAATGAGTGACCAGTAACTTACCTGTGGTTATTTCCCGCTAATGTTTATGCGGTGTTCCTAAATACACTTCACCTTTTCAAATTGCTTTGAATCGTCCTCGTCTTTTTTATTTGTTGGGATGAATAGGGGTATTAATTAGATTACGATGTATGTTCCTAACCTGTTATATAAATATTGCCCTTTCTGTCAACAAGTGAACTTCATCTTTTTAATTCGAATTCCTGAACATTTCCATCCACCCGGCTATCGAGTTGTGATTGTTAAACAAGCAATGTTTAGGATGTAACATATATCAACATTAATGAGTCCTTGTATGACACTCATCAAATAACAAAGGTTGCTTATTATGATTATTGTCAAAGTTTTAATATTTTAATTTACGGTTTTGTGGATGTTAACTTAATTTATTGGTGGTGTTAATCACAAGTTGATGTCATTTAGGAGGTGGTGACTTGGATAACGATGGTTTAATAGTTAAAGAGTTGAATTCCAACTAATGGTTCTCATTTCCGAGTCTCTCTCCACATACTTCGGCTTGAGCAGCCGGGTAATGTCACCACCTCCCACACACAGTAGTTAGTCAGTGAGTTATATGCATTTACTGAGAACCGAAGAGAGCCGAATGGTTGTCTCGTTACAGTACGAAATTCATAAATACTGTGCCGTTGACACTGATCGGACCTATGGGCTTCAAATCCCACATTGAGTGTGTTACCTTTAGGCCACTAGATTGGGATCCAGTGGTACCCTAATTAAGGTGTCAATCTGTAATGTATTCTATCTCCAAACATAATATCAATTCTCACTGTTTTAATTAATTAATCTTACATATTTTTTAAAATTTTTTTAGCTGGAACATTTACTCGTATTTATCCAAATCAATATGTTTTCCCTGGTGCTGAAATATATTTAGACAGTAAACCCGGTGAAGTAACGATCTCATGTAATGCCTCAGATATCTCTATTACGTCGAATGCATCATCAGCATCGTCTACTTCCGGTCATAATGATGACTTAGATCAGATAAGAGATTCACTTAAAGATGAATCTGTTTCCATTGATATAACTGAAAAAGAAGAGTCCAGTATTCATTCATCTGATTCGCGTAAATCTTTAAAACGGCATAATTCCAATGAGAATCTGTCTTTGAATAAACAATCATCGTTAAAACAACCTCGATCTATGTAAAGAAAATAACTAAAAAAAAATAAAAGTAAACTGGAAGACATGAAAATCATTCAGTAAAGAAGTAGAAAAGAAAACAATTAACATGAATCTCATTAAAACAAAGACGACAACAAAAAGCTTGTTAGCTATTTTTATTCTTTTTCTTCTCATCCCATCGTTGCTTATATCCATAAATTTTTGTGTAAATAAAATATATATATATATATATATATATATATATATATATCACATATTTTGTGTGTTTATTTTTATTCTTTACCGATATATGTGTGTATATCCTTCTTTTTTTCAATGGAACATTTCGTGACTACCTGTTTATGACCACTTTTCATTGAGTTAAATTAATTCACACATTGTTAATATAGATTCTGTAAAAAAAAAAAGAGGAACGAAGATTATAATGATAATTATTATCAGTGTTTCCTTTCAAACACATTTCCATGTATGTTTCTCACTTATTTTATTTGAAAAAGTTCTTCCCCCTTTCCTTTCTTACTTATTATTAATTTATTCATAATGAATTTTGAACATGTTTTTCTATGCATTTGTTGTACACTATAAACTTATTTTCTCGGTTATTGTTTTACAAACAATTATTATATTAACAAGTTCTTAAGAGATAAATATTGCTTTTTTTTAAAATTTAATGAAACAATATGTCATCGTTTAGCAATTTATGCATATGTTATTCACGTAAAACTAATCGCGAAATACACTTGGTATTGTTTGGCTTGTATCTTCCCATTGAGGTTTAAGACTGCAATTGATCAGTCTGTTATTGGCATATGTGCATACTGTGCGTATGCCTCGATATTACCTTAATTCACAAGCTATTTGTAAGCAATGATGGATAGTGGCTAGCAGTGGAATCCAGGACGTGCGTTTCGTCCTATTTGGGACTCGTCAGCTGGATGTACCTGCATCTCAGAGTTGATTTTCACTCTGGGACTCGAACCCAGTACCATTCGCTTCAAACGCCATCGCGTTATCCACTCAGCTACTGAATCCTGATAGCCACTTGCTTGTGCAGTGGGATCGTGAAATAGTTTACACCACAGCGTATTAACAATTATAAAAAAATTTCATGCGTTGTATCATATTCTAATTAGTAGAGTTTTCATAGATTACATCATAGATTGATCTTAGATAACTATAGAAAACCAAGAAGCACTGGACATCTGTTTTTTTTTCAGTATGGGACTACTCGGCAATGTACATCAAACCGGGGATGGAATCTAGGATCTTCGGTTTCACGAGTGCTTGAGCTCTAGATCGTTGAACAGTCATTCATTAGTGTACGTGTCTAACTTATCACGATTTGATATATTGGAAAAACATAAAAGGACTGTGGTTTAAATTTGTTGTTTAAGCCTTCTCCCACATTAATATACAGTTTTTAACACTTTTCACTCTTCAAACTGGTCGTCCAATAATATTGGTAATTTTAAAAATGATAGAATAGTTTAATATTGTTTTGAGATGGACATAAAAGTCAATAACATGTGCACTGATTACCTTCTTAATAACAATGGACTCCAGTAATCACTAATACGGATTCAAGTTTAAATGTGGTTACGATCAAAGATTATTCTATAGTATCAGGATACTATATCATCATTTATTTCGGAGGAAGAAGTGTCCACGTAGATATTTGGAGCAAATATTTCGATAATACTTGAACTAACCACTATTTCTTCAAAATATTTATTGTCATACCCTCAAAATTTGTCGTTAGGGCTAAGCAAAATAGTTGTTTTTAAGTCAGCGATAAATTAAGGATTTCATGCCTCTCTATCTTGTAATGTGATAAATTTCTGAATCCTTTAATATTTAAACATGCCCCGACTTACGTTGTCTTGGGAAACTGGATTGTGTCTACTACTGTGACACAGCCAGTCTACAGTTCGGCACTTAGATTTACTATAAGTACTGTCCAGTTTTGTTTATACTAGGTATAGTACAGATGGAGGATTAATTGATTCAAATATCGATTTATTTATATTTAAGTCATACTACTAGATATTTCCGAATCTTTATGCATAATTATTTCTAATATCATCCCAGCATTTCTCCCAAAGGTACTTGTAGTAGTAATCATGCTTGTAACTTGTTACCATAAACATTTCTTAATTATATCACAGTTTCAATAATATCCTTCTAAAGTAAAGTTTTATTGTCAAATCTATTTAAAGTTAGTGTACTTTTCGATGTTGTTGAATACCCACTTATATGATAATGATGTTGGGTTTAAACTTCAATTTGAAACGGGAACTTCTCTACTGATTCCTTTTACAATAAAATAGGTAGATCTTAATAAAAAGTAATTTGTTTAAGGTAGTCACAACAAGAATTAAGTGAGCCGGTATGGATAATAATATATAGCGCAAATGTGTATTGTGTCATTTTGGTGGAGTTTCGTTCTTTGAGCTGGAAGACGAAACTTCACCAAAATCGTCTATTTGAACTACAAATTTTTACCATCTCATGTATTGACTCAAGTCGTCGTATTATATACAATGAAAGAGAATTACCAAAATAAAAAGGGAAAGAAATAGGAAAATAACCTAATCTGACTTGTGAGGAAACGGATCACGATATTTATTCTCTGAATGGATGCTAATTTGGCCATCTTGTAATGACTTCTTTCAAAAATTAAAATAGTCATGATGAGATTTAATTCACACGATAACTATAAAAGTGTTGTAAATTCACGACTACTTTGAAGATGTCTATATGCTACCATTACAATGCATCATCCTATTTATTTAGATAAAAATATGTCAACAACATATGAATTGATTCATTTTCAGAATATGAACATAGTAACCAGTTCACTCCAATCCTTGAAGATAATTATCCTCTTCTAGGCGATTATAATTTTCCAGTAATCCAACCATATCGTTTCTCAGAAACAATCAATATTTAAAATCCGTTGATGTCAAGTGATTGAAGGCATGTGAGAGAAACCCTATGTGGATCCATGTTTCACGTGAGTTAGCGACGAGTTAGTTGCCTTTCGCTTTTACAAAATACTATTTACAAGTACGGAAAACTAGAAAGAATCGTTAAGTTGAATTCAAGCTTACACTCTACTTTCCAATAATCTATCGGTGTAAAACTTTGTTCATGAACAATCTCCTATTAGAAAGATTACTTCCAAGAAAAAAATCTATAGACATCATTAATATAGATGTATTTCTATTTTCATATAAACTGACAATGAATAATAACAATAAGAGAACTTTTTTTTACAACAGAAATTGAATGATACAAGCGTATGAAGGAATCTCAGAAAACACATAAAGATAATGAGAAATACAGAATAACTAAATAGTTCATCACACAAATAAAAAGAGATAAATAAAAGAGCACAAGATAAAATATTCATAAGAACAAATAAAATAACAAAAATTAACTTGAATTCGTAAGTAGATACAATGAAAGTTATTAGCACAAAAATAATGGCAGCTGTATGTAAATAATATAATATTAGAATTGATAAAGACAAATATGACAACGACGCTGTTTGATTGATCTAACCACTGCCCATTCACCGCATACCGCCTCTTTGACCTATTCATTCAATTGATTAAATAATTAACCTATTCCCAATAATAAAATACATAAAATCTAGAAATCACTTTTGTAGACACTTTTTTTTTAAAACGATATGTAAATGTTTTTTGCTATTGTTGTTGCTATGTCATTCGGAACAAAGAGTGTAAAAGAAGAAATTGAAGTGAACTTTTAGATATTTAATAAAATTATATGAAGAAAAAAAGGGCGTTTGTTGCATAAAGGCAATTTTTCAAGTGCACATACCTAATATTCTTATTTATTTATACAATAAGTAAGTAGATCTTATCTTCAAATCTGTGATGTGTAAAGCAAAATAAATAAAAAAGGAGGAAGAAAAAAGAAAAAAAAGAATAATACAACACACAATAAATAATAAACTCTACTTCCAATAAAATAAATGATAATGTGATGAAATAAAAGAAAACAAATTCGAAAATAAATTAACGAAAGTAACCACTTTTAAGTGGTTTAGGTGAATTTTGATATACACATTTAGTTGAATTAAAATAAACAACTAATAAACAGTTTTTCACATAGATCTATTATTATTATTATTATTATTATTATTATTATTATTATTATTATTATTATTATTATTATTATCATTTGTGGTGTCAGCATCCGCGGTAACGTCAATTAATTCTGTCGATTGTTGACAGGTTGAATTGTCAGTGTTTAAATTAGTTTGTAATAAAGGAATTTTAGATTTTGATAACATATCTATACGTGAATTATTACAAGTTGAACCGGGCATAGTTACAGAATCTTTATTTGTTTTCGTATTGGATTGAATTAAATTAGAATCAGTTGGTAATGAATCATTTCTAGGTGAGGATGTAGAAAGTTGAGATTTAGACATTGTTTTACTTATTTGAGGTAAATGTTCAGATTGAATGACACCTATAAAAGTATTGACAGAAAAAACATTTAAAAAAAATGAAACAGTTCAGTACAACTTTTAGTAATAAAAACTCAATAAATCAGTCGAACATAGTTAACTTAGCACCTGGTATCAATTGACATCAATTCCAATACCTACACCACAACAACAAGAATAAAGAATATGGAATAGAAGCTATAGAATTTAGTAAACAGTTACTAGATTAATGCAGTCAAGACTTTGTTATAAATATTGTATCTACAATATGAACTAAATGAGATCCAAGCTAATCAACAAAATTTATGCAATCTCATAAACTACCTTTAATATAATAAAATTATGATTTATCCAATTCTGAAGTAAAATATCACTGATACTAATCATCTTCTTACAGATGAGTACAAAAAGAAATTCAAATGTCAAATAATTACTATTGTAAATTCATATATTAATTACATTGTCCAATTAATGATTCGTTTGATTAAAACCAATTTTTCTTTCAACAATTTTCTGTTAAATCATATCAATTTTAGCTTGTAGAATAGTTTAGACAGTGATCATCCAATACCTACACCACAACAACAATTAGTGATCATAAACATTTAGTCTATTGAATAATAATATACAGTTAGTTTCTCTTTTTAATCATTTAAAATTGTTTAACTGAAATTAAACCATATAGTAATCTCATTGATTTCAACCATTTAACTTAGATATTCTTCGAGACCTTGGGTACATTTGAATTATGCATAAACTACTTATTCATCAGTAACTAAAGACAAGAAATCAATATAAGAATATTTGTCAAAATGAGAAAGAATAGTTCGACAGAAATTGGTTGCCGAGTATAGAGAAGACATTTGATGTATATAATTTTCAGACAAGAACTCAGTAGTCTAATATATATTGCTTTGAAGTCCAGAGTAATACATTCTTGCCTGAAATTTTCCATTGGAACCCTTATATTTAATAATTTACATGTGTTTCCAACTGGAAAGTTTTCAAGTAGATAAATCGACTATCCAGGATTAATTACATTGTAATTCATTTACAACATTCTAAATTACATAATAAATAAAGAATAATATGTTAGGGATGCAGAGGAATATACCAATAATTATCGTGTTAAGTCTAATGGTGTCCTTGGACGTTAAATGGACATTTCCATTGGTCAATATTCATTTCACCTGTCAAATATTGTACAAATGTTGTTTTCTATTTTATGGTACGATGTGGTCTGGTTAGTTGGTATATAAATAGAGTATGTCTGAAATATAATGATTCACATCTCAGAGGCTGTGACTTGCGTTCTGGACTCAACTGGCTGGGCTAGACAGGAAAGCGGGACTAATCAGAACTCTAGGCCGTTCACTACGTGTTTTACGTGTCACTGGATCGATCAATAATACGCTGCGCATCTAACCTGCAGTCCACACGTTACAACATAATACTAACGAAATTTATAAGTTAACAGTTAGGTAATCAAAATTTAGTTTCAGTGGTATATTTAACATTTTTAGGATAATGTGTGAGTAATAATTTTTTCCGTAAAAAGCTCTTCATATGAATCAATATCAACTGAAAATGTATTGTATTCACTGCTTAAGACGTGCTAGTAGTATTCATCTTTTGATTCTGATCAAATGCTACTACTACTACTACTTCTATTACTAAATACAATCGACATGTGTCTCAGTCATTACACTGCAATTAAGCCAATGATGAAATTGTATGAAGATTTCATTAAACTACATTTATAAACTGATTTATTAAATTCTATTTTCCTGTAGTAACAGTATTATGATCAAAGATGGTTGATGAATAGCAGTGGAATTCAGGACGCGGGTTTCGCCATATTTAGTATTCGTCAGTTAGATGTTCATCACGTGTGAGCTGAAAGTTTTGATTTTGATTTCATAATTGAGTACTGTTGAGTAGTTACGACCTATTTAGTGTTATTTAGCTTTCATATGATTTATATTTGTGATAAAGACTACATACATACCAGATTATTTGTTATTGAATTCTTTGGAAAATGTTGGTGTTGTGTTACTTATGGAAGGTATACAAATTGCTGAAGCACGCCTTTGATGTAAATTATCATCTACACTTTTTTCATAAATTGTTTCACCATGCATACTCTTTCTATGAGGTTGAGATAATGAAGCAGCAGAATGACGAGATGGTATTATCGCCTGTCGATCATGACGATACTTAATATGATTACTATTAGCATTAGTGTTATCAGTGATAGTATTATCATTTTCATCGTTATTTTTAACTACATTCAAATCATGATTTGATGTAGGTAATGATGCATATGAACTGGCTGACGTTGTACTATATTGTGATGTTGGTGATGATCGTAGACGATGGGCGAAGGAAGAGGATTTACGCTGAAGCGTTGTCAATATAGGTGTGATTGGTGCGATTGCACAATCAGATGAACTGTGTAAATCTTCATTAAAATCACCAATCGGTTTCCATTGAGGAGCTAATTTTGTTTAACAAGAGAAAAGAGACAAAAATTAAGAAAAAATAAGGGACAAGTGAAAACACAAGCGATTATTTTATGCTCTGACATCAAAACATAAGTATAAGGGGTTTGTGGAGGTAGTTGAATTTTCACAGTTTATATCATGGACTGATCTTAGATAACCATTGAAAATCGAGAAGCAATTCAACTGAGGATGGAACCCAGGAACTTCAGTTTCACGGCTAGTGCCTGACCTCTAGATCATTTAACAGTTACTCAATGGTGTATATGTCTAACTTCAATCAATTCATGATATTGTGCAATAATCAACCGCTGCCATTGGCGCATAACCGTCTGATGCTTCTTGGCTTTCAGTGATTATCTAACTAAGATCAGTCTGTTATTAAAACTATGAAAATAAAATATAGACCAAATAGTTATCGATGTCTGTTACGATGAACGCATATATATATATATATATATATATATATATTCTGAAACTAATGGAGTATCAGTGAAAACTATAGAACATTCAGTATGGACATATGATCTTTAGGTCTCCCAGCGGGTGTATCACCAATAGACTGGTGAGTTGATGAACGTTGGTTATTTTTAATTTGTGATATGGTAGGACATGTATTCAATGTTTGACAGTTCTTATTTCACTTCCTACAATGTCTCAATGGAGAACCGAGAATTCCTCTTTATTAGCCACCAGAGATATACTGTTGATAGGGTGGGAAGTCAGTGAAGACTGGATCATATTACAAAACTACTAAATGGTATGACTAATAGTCCAAGTAGACCAATATCAAACAGTTGAATGTTAGATTAAAAGCAGTTGGTAGAAAGTTCTAGACCTAGGTTCCTTTATAATTGACCCCTATCTGCAAAACTTAACTGCTCATTTTGATGGAACGTATGTTCTTTCTAGTATTTGAACTCGTGAAACACAGTTTGATAGTCAAATATTTTAATACTGTGTGATGAGTGTTTAAAACTAAGGATGAAGGAAATCAGTTTTCTCTCAGGCTTACTAATAAACTTTATTAACAAGTGTTAACTGTCATGAATTTTAGACTCAAGGCATCTTGATGACCGCTTTTAGTAACTTTGTAGTAAACATAGTATACAATTTCTATAAATAATTCCTATACTTCAATCATATCCCATTATCATTTAAATATGCAGTGAATAAAATTCCTGTTGCAACCCTCAGTCTGTGATGTTAAAATTGACATTTCAGAAAAGGAGTACATTATAAAAAGTACAGAATTAGAGGATAATTATGATCAATAAAATTCGTGGATATTAAACATCAGAATAAGGTCTCAATCACTTCAGTTTGATTTTATATACAGTATAAACCAAGAATTTTAATTCAGCCAGTTGGATTTTCGAATTAGTTGAATCCCACTAATCAACTTTCACAAATGACCTATATCAAGAAAGTAATCGAATATTTTATAACTTTTTGATTGAGATGATGAATCGATCAATGTTAGACTACCAGATTAAGATAAATAAAATCATACAGTTTTAGTAAAAGAAATTTTTGGTTGCTGAATACTGTTTATTTCGGTTAAATTTTTTTTTACTATTTTGGTGTCATTTTTTCCATACAGAAAAGTCGATTTTATTTCCGAACATATTTCCTCAGTTGGTTAGTGGTTTAGATTTCGTTTGAGATAAGATAGTCAATTGTATGACCAAATTATCAGTTCGACTACTTTGATCATTCTAGCACTTATTCAACTAATTATTTAGTGACAATAAAGGTTCAATAACTAGTGTTAAATTATTTATATGATTGTAGGTCAACTGATAAAACTGGTTAATTCATTATCTGGTTGTGACCTGATTTTCTATATTGACATTGATTATTTACATAGTACACAATTATACACTTACATGATCCAATAATTATCTTTACTGTAGATTATCATAAGTGAATTTCAAGGAATTAATGTGTTTACAAAGTGAAGCAGAATGAATTTGAACTATAGATTCATAAACACAGATTTTCATAGTGTTTTTGATCGAGATCATGAATTGATCAATGTTAGATCACCACTGAAAACCTGGAATCACTGGACGGCCATTTCGTCCCAGTATGGAACTCCTCAACAGTATGCATCCACGATATTGCACACATAATTCAAACCTAAGACCTTCGGTCTCGCGCACGAACACATAACCTCTAGATCAGTGAGCCGGCGTCCAACAGTGTATTTAATGAGATAATACATTAGTAACGAATAATCAAGTCAAGATACGATTTACCAGTCAGTTTCTGAGAATCTTTAATGTTAATTTGTCTTTAATGATAACTGAATGCTATCGATTTGGTTGTATAAACTATGTATAAACTTAAGTGAGGTCACTATCATTATTCAACACTTTCATGGTGATTTATTAGGAATAGTCTGGACGGGGGGTATCCAATTGGGGATTTGTAATGTATTGCAGTCATATGCTTTGCTGTTGGATATCAATTAATATAAAACTAAAATTAGGTGGCTTTTACCAAGGATTAATTTTCAAGAAGTTAATGTAGTATGAATTCTTTCTTCAGTCTAAATAGAACGAAAAGACTTCTTATATAACTTGGATTTTAAGCATGGTTTTCAATACTATGTACCGTTAGTGGTAAAACACACTAAATAATGTTCAAACCATAGATATCTATTTAATGGCTCATTATCGTTCCAGATCAGTAATTATATTCTTAAAAATATGCGTAACATCAATAAAAGTACAGGTCTAAAATATTTAATTACTATTTCATACCAGTAAATAAATATCAAGTTATGATAAATATATATTTTTAATGTAAATCATGAACTGATCTCAGTTAGAACACCGTTGAAAATCTGAAAGCATTGGACTGTCGTTTCGTCCTATTATGAGACTCCTCAGAGATGGCGATTCAAGATATCCCAGGACCATAGATCTCACTTGTGAACGCTTAACCTCTAGACCAGAGAGCCAGCATCGAGATTTAAACTATGAAAATCCTACAATCTCTACAAACCCTCTTATACATTCTTGATTCGTAAGGTAAGGTTGATACATCTTTAAGAAAGTACGTTGCATAATATAATCGTACTAATATATACATGCATAGCAACTACAACTTAATTGTATACGACCACGTTAAAACAGCATGCATGATATATAAAAACAAATATCAAGTGCATTGAAACAAATTTGTTGAATAAATTTGATAGGCTTCACAACAATAATAGAACGATCACAACATACTTTAACAGCAAACATGATGATAACATGATAACATGATGATAATGACGATAGTGCTTTGAATGATGACAGTGATGATGGTAATATTTAAGCATTTCACGTAAAAAAATATTAACAACATGTAGCACAACACAATATCAAACAGTAATTATGATGCATGCTTACTGGATCATAATAACAAATTTAAATATAGATGACTAGATTCCATTTGATCAAAGTAAAGACAATAATTACTCCAGTGTTGGCCAATGTAAAGAACGTCATGAATGTTAAGTTAAATTACAAAGAAAACATTTTATATATTTAAAGAATTGATAACTAAATAAGTTGGTTTTGTGTAAAATGAAGAAATAACGTATAAAGTGTGAATATATGCATATATATAAATGTATATTTATGAATGTATGTAGTCTGTAGTTGACATTGTTTATTAAGAAGTTTAGATTATTTTCTAGTATGTAATGATTGATGTTTCTTTCCTAGTGTATGAGAATTAGTGGTATTATTATTATTATTATAACTACAGTTATTATGATTTGCTGGATTAGGCTTTGTACTAGGCATAACTAAATAAAATGCATTATCTTGTCCAGGACCATTCATCATTAATTGATATAAATTATGAGTATCATTACGTGAACGTTTATGAACAGTTTTTAAACGTGATGAACTAGATAAAGATGATTCAGAAGATTTAATTATAGACTTTTTAGTCGTTGTATTCGATATAAGATAATCAGTAATCTGTTTACCATCATGACAACTACTACTGTGACCACTTTCACTACAGCTACTTGTTGAACTAATCACTGGATGATTATATTTATAATTATTACTACTATTATTTAAGTTGTTTTGATGATTTGATTTTATTGTTGAAGATGAATGTTGAAAAGTAACAGATGAAGGAAACCAGTATGAACCGTGACCAACACCGGCTGCTTTAGCTAAATCTGCTATACTAGTTAAGCGTTCACAGGCATCTAAAAAATAAATATGCGTGTGTATGTGTGCATGCATAATAGACCAGAATGTGCACATGTTGTAGTGAATAGAATCATACACATGAAAATATGCATGCAATAGTAAAATTGAGATTTCATATGCGAAATTCATATACATATACGATTTTATGTGTACAATAAGAAAAGAGAAATGTGTCGAATGGAAAGGATAATATAAATGAAAAACATAGGAGAAAAGCAAAAGAAAAAAGTTCGTATAATTAGAAGCAATAAACAATATGAAATATATACTATATTTAACTATTCGAAATTATATATATATATATATATATATATATATATATATATATATATATATATATATATATATATATATATATATATCAAATGAGTGTACTGATCTGAAGTCTGATGTTATGGTGTACATTAATACGAACTGTCTAGAAAGTAAACATTATTCAAAACACTGTTCTCAAGACGTCCAGCCACTGACTGCGTAATGTTAAGTTTAGACAGAATTTTAAGCAAAATAAAATCCACTAATGCATTTGTCAACTTATATTGATCAAATTAGGTGGGATATATTTTACATATCCTGAAACTCTATTTACTTTAATGCGACATGTTAGTTGATAATAAAAACTATGTTATACAGTGGCCAGGTAGTTACACAACACTGATCTATGTAGTCTGTAGCAATTATTTCTTATGAGCCTCATAATAGCAGCCAACTCAATAGCTTAAGTGGACGTTTAGTAACACAAATTAAGGTAGAATAGCCGCCTAGTAGTTAAAAGACAGCTTTCAATAATTCATTCTAAGATTCAAACTTAGCTTCGCTTCTCAATTTCGGTAGTTAAACAGTGTTGGTAGTTTTTATATGGAAACTGTGGCTTTGAAGTGAGCACATTAAACTTTGTGTTTGGATACTGAGATGCATAAAGGAATAAATAAAATACATGGCCTACAATTAATCTTATTGACCTATCCAAATAAGGGATATTTCATCATTTTACATATTTCTGTTCTTTGCTCTAATTATTTTCTTATGACCTTTCAATCTTACGATTTGTTTTCAGTGTGGACATTGATATTTTTATTCCTTTCAACCTTCTTTACATAATTTTCTTTGTGGTGGTAACACAAAGTAAGGGTTTTATTATGCCTCGTTCATCCTCATATATCTAAAATTTATACTAAATATATGCATAAACGTATATGTACACTACTTTAGATTCATATGGTATACACCTTAGACTTCATAGGTCTTCTTAACTCGTACTCAAGCGTGTATAGACATCTACGAATTAGCATTAACAAAATAACTACTGAAAACTAAACAGCACTGATTATCTATTTCTTCCAAGTATGAAACTCCTTAGAACTGAAGATAAATGATTCTTCTGTTGACAACCATATATATATATATATATATCGGAAAAGTAATTTAATGTGTGTTGGGAAGGTATACAAACTTTGTGAAAAGATATTAGTAATGGTTTGTAATTTCCAACTTTTTTTATCACGACTGCAATTGATCAGTCCCCATTAACATATGTGTACCCAAAGTAAATTATCCTGCTGGCTTGGTGGATAACAAGTTAGATTTTAAAGCAATAAGCGTTGGGTTCGAATCCTGACGTGAACATTAACACTAGTATGCAGGTATGTTTAGCTGATGATCCTCAGATACTGTAGTGGACGCTACACACAATATTGTGTTAGGAATGAGTAGTGGAACTTGATATCGATGTCCTACAACTGTCAGATGGAATGAAGGGTTTAAGTACATCGAAAACAAGGTGTTACCATAACACTAAGAGATCAGACTAGAAGATGGTTCAAATTGAAGAACGCACCGATAATGCAAATGGAAGATTGAAGGCTATATATATGTAATATGTAGATACTTCCTACAATAAAAATAAACTCCTTGTGCCTATTGTCGTGTTTTGCAATACTATGAAACGTGGAGCCTGGATTCTACATTTATTCATAATCAAAAATTTAGTCTTGTATATATATATATATATATATATATATATATATATATATATATATATATATATATATATATATATATATAATAGAGGAGAGGAAAATGAGAATGAAACGTACCTCGACATGGATCATTTTTAACTAAAAATTCGTCCAGTGTCACCCAACCACCACCTACACGAACCATTACAGCACTACGAAGGATGCGAACTAGACATAATTTTTGTGAGTCACCGAACTGTATATCAGGAAAAAAACATTGATCAGTTTACAATATATCATATAGAAAAGAGACAAGAGAATACTTATATAAAATACGATATGATATTTAAATGAAATTTCGTGTAACAAGATATATACAAGAAACCTAATACATTCTAGTCAATATTAACTTACAGTTGATTAAGTAAAAATAAAGCAGAATGAATTTCAAATGTTTACATGATGGTTTTATGAGTCATTTAACTAATTTATTGAGTGATTATTCAAGAAACAATATCCTCAACATATAATATAAATAATAAAATAAGGAGATTAATAATATTTATCAGCCTTTTGAAAACAAATCAACTTTATACCATTGAAAAGTTTATCATTGAAATGATACTTCAGGTGATTGGAGATAATCACCAGGAAGCTCTGCTACTTAGATTAGTGGTTACATAGGATCTTGATAGATAATCTTTGTTTACCACCAAAAAGTAGCCGGATATGAGATTGATCATTACTCATTGACTAGTCAGCGTAATTAGTAACATATATTAATATTATTTTCTAATATCTGTATATTCTTTGTTTTATATGCTTTTCTAAACTATATAGAAACTTTATCCTTAAAGTTTATAACGAATAAGTACCGTGGAGAGTTTTCCTGGACTGATTACGAAAATGTACTTGTTAACATGAAGATATTACTGTCACATGAGATTTAAGTCCTTTTGCAAATAAAACGATAGTCTTAAATTTACTTTATAACAGCAAAATCATTATCTGTTCCTGTATAAAACTATTAATTATGAAAACTAGTCTCTAAATAGAATATTTATAAAGAGTGGTTAGTATTTATAATCTTTGAGTTAAGGAGACGCTTATTAGTAATATTTCTGAAAATAAATACAAGGTTATCTTGAAAGTTAATTATAAAAGTATTTTGTGTATGACATGAACATGAAACTTGTTCCATATTTTAAAAAATTGATATGGAATTTATAGAGCCCGGTGATATTGAATTTCAACCCTCCAAAAATACTAGATGAGTACCTGGAAAGTTTCGAAGAATAACGAATGGTGTATTATCTATTTTGTACAACCATTTTATTAACCAAGTACTCTGAATGAATTCACGCTGTTAGACAATGGTAGTCAGTCTACAAGGACTAAGGTATTGTATATACTGTTAAGCACTAAAAAAACTATATATCTTCAATATCAAAACACTCTATAATTTCCCTGTCTTTTTGATAATCTTGAAATTTCATACTGTAGCCAGAGATACTGCAATCTAGATCAACAGTGAATAACACTGAGTTAAGTTTCTTGAGATTCAAATTGTAAACTTGATATAAAGAAAAAAATTCTATTAATTACTGTGATATTGTCAGATTTATAAAATGCATTGTTAGTTTGTAAATCCACTATATTTATTTATACTGAATTAAAACTAACCCGATATTTATTTGTTGCCATTTTCTTAATTTTATATGTGTTATGACATGTACACAATCCAACTTGACGTTTTAATTCATCATTAATGGTTTCTTCATCCGATGGACCGAAACGATTTAAACTTAATGAACTACCACCATTAGTATTCGATGATGATGTTCTATCCAAATTACTATAATTAGCTCTTAGTGCATTTAAACATTCACGATAATCAATATATCCATCTCCATTAGCATCGAATATATCTGCAACTGTTTCCATTTCAACGCGACTTGTTTGGAATTCTATATAAATGGAGAGAAAAGACTTTATTCAGAAAAAAAAATATCTGAAAGAATTGAGAAGAATCTCTAGAGAATGATGTATTATTTGGTAGGAGATGATAATTTAATCAAAGAATTATAAAAAAAGAAATCTACTTTCCAGAAGAAAATTACAAATAACATATATCAACAGTTAAAGCATTTCCAAAGAGCATTATACATCATGAAAGAAGTTAAATTTCAATCTATTTATGTAAAGACAATAGCATAAAGCTAAACTATTTGTATATAAGAAAAATATATATATATATACTCGAGAACCAGACAATAAAACTATGATAACAATCTACTTAGAATGAAAATAAATCTAAATATGACTTGTTAAATATTTAAAAAATTTTAATCCCCCCTAATAGTAAAATTGACTAGATTGTACCAGGGCAGTTAGTTTTTCGAGTACAATGTAAACAGAGTGTACTCAAGAGGCGGTAAGTCGTGTTCAATGTTTAAGACTCGCAATGATTGGAAGATCATCGAGTTGGGGGTAGTCACAGAAACCAAAAAAAGTTCATATAATTGTGATTTAATATAATGGGAAATTTTTAGCGATTAAAAACATTTTAATCCTACTAAAATAACATAAATGTTGATAATTTCAATATTTTTGTTAAGATAATTTATCAGCTGTGATTATTTCTCAACTTATATGTAGATTATCCTGAAAGATGAAACAAAATGAGAATATTCTATGCCTAGAAAAGATAAGAACTAATTAGAAATGAAAGTCTTCAAAACGCAACTTTCAAAATTGATTATAATATTTTATCGTATTTTTCACTCTACAACTATTTACTACTCGTCTGAGTATGTTCTAGTTCCTCATTACAAATATTATTACTATTATTATTAACTTTTATGGTTTGTAAACTTATTGTTCGCTATGTTGTTTCTGTCTAGTTACAGTGGTATACTAATTTATTGGCCTCTATATTGTGGTCCATTTTGCCTGTCTATCTGTCTACCTAAATGTCAAAGGAGGGTTTTTATGAAAAATCCCAAATAGCACTGAACACAGTTACCAGGCTCGGAAAGCCGTTCAGACTGGATTACTAGTGTAAAATTTTGATTAGCTCATAAATCAAGCATTATTTTTGAGTAAAACAAAAAGTAGTAAGAGTAATCGATAATCTTAGAATACAGTCAAGGTCAAAATAATTGTTTTCTATGTCAATCAGTTATAGAATTAATATAAACAGTAAAGTATAAACAAAGTTTGACCTGACATAAAGGTGTAACAGTTCTAGTGGTCACATTTTAGATCGATATAACAGGAGGAAATCGATGAGCGAGAAATTCAGGCGCTGAAATAATAACAATAAAGGTAGTGTACACATTAGATTTGAAATAATCTCAGCGACCGAAATTTATGTAATTCCGACGTTTGGTCCTTCAATCTTATCTGGACTTCTTCAGGATAGTGAAAAAAATTGTAAAAGATGAATGCGTAATGTGAGACATTTTTGTCCAACGATAAAAAGTAACCGCATAATACATAAGCATGTTGTGATGTGCGCTACTTAGGCAGACATATATGAATAGTATATAGAGGGAATAGGAAGTGGAATACTTACCAGCAGAAGATTGAAACAAAGAGGAGAGGAAGAAAGATCGAGGGCAATCAAAATAACAACAGGACTGGAAACACGATGAGGAATGTAAGGGGCAGCTCAAGGAAGATATGCAAATAATGGACTTAATGTATGGTTTTCATATTTTACAAAGGAATTGTGTGATTTCACACAAAATAAACCTGTTTACCTTATTGTCTTTAGTTCGTGCCCCCAAATGCACTGGTACGGCCGAGAGTCGGGAGAGTCCGCTCTCCCTCTCCAAATTCTCTCACATGGCCACGCATATATAGCCTCTGCCAGGGAAGTCCTACTCACTGCCTTCTCGTGGCGGAGTTGTTGTTTACGAAAATGAGAGGACGAAAAGCGAATGTCCGGCGCTCAAACCGGATTCCAAACCAATGGTGCACATGGGCTCCAGTATCCTGCGGGAACAAATGGCGTATGAACCAATTGTTGGTCACTGGCTTACATGGGACTGCACCTCCTGACGACGCTCCACTGCCTTGTGGGTTAGACCATTAGGTCGAAGGCACGGGGGTGGCCTCCCAAGATAACCACCTGCTTCGGTTTGGGCACCCGGTCAGTATCACAGACCTCACACATATCGAATGAGATTTGTATGGCGCATATGTATTTGGTGCCTCCTTGTACCAATATCTATGTGTTAAAATAAGTAAATAAATCGTGCCAATACGTTACAGTCAGTTGTCGCATAATTTGGACGTTGTTTATTTGTGCAAAATAAAATGGGCACAAAACATCTAGTTTTAAATCTTTGAAAAGTTAAATAATTTTCGGAGGGATTTTTGAATGGTTTCTTTGTAAAAAGTGATCATCAGTATTGCTCAAAGGAAATATGTAAAATAGGATGCTAGTTTATAGTTTATTGATTTATCGATTGGTAAGATAACTGACCAAAGTGAACAGGTTTATCTATGACAAACAGGTTGAGAGTTTGATGTTTAAAAGTAACCAGAATATCAATAGTTAAAATGAAATATTGTGAAGACCGCTGTTCTTTGATACAACCAAAGACGTGTGATACTTTTTTGGAATGCGATGTTAGCTCTTGACCACATTTTTTGGTAAAAATCGTAAATAGTCGAACACAAATTTAGAGTATAAATCAAATATTAAGGATTTACTTCAAATTCTTTCACTGAGATTTTAAAAATACATTCTCCCTCTTTAATGTCTCACATTAACTTGGCGCCCAAATATTGTGAAACTATCCGTTCAAATTTAGACGAAAGTTCTTATTTAAATATGAAGGTTGTATGAGTCATTATTGTTCAAAATAAACAGACGGTGAGTAGTACATATGAGGAAATAGTTATATAATTAAGCTCGTATTCTAAATTTTAAACTTGGTAGGAATAAAACGCTACCAAGTTTAACTAAGTTTCTATCAGTAGTTTAGGGAAATAGTTGAATATCAGAAGGAATGTCTCATTAAAAACGTGTTCGATTACTTTCTAGCTAAACAGACCAGTAACAAACATTGTGATGAATAGATAATAAAATCATCAAAGTAATAATCGTTTATTTGTTAGACTTATTTTGAGCATGATACTCATAACTCATGGTAGATGTCCATGACCTGTAGAATCAGTCAAATTGAGAATAAACTAAATATCCATCGATAAAACATCAGATGAGTGTAGTGATGGGATATATCAATCACTACAGGAAATACATGAATGCATGCATTTTGATATTATGTGTGGTAGTAGGTGTAGACTACTGAAATGATAACTAGAATAGAACAAGTATAGAATGTTCTCTACTATGCAGTAATTTTTCATACACCATCAGTTATAGATGAAACTATTTCATAAGCTACTAATTCACTGTTTCAAAAGCATTAGTTGTAATTTACTAGTTACACGTAAAACCATATACCAAGTTGAGTATTGTATAGAAGCTTACAATATTGTTATTATTTTCAATATAGATTAAACCATATTTGAATCTATGATTCTGTTGTATTAAAAGTTGACTAACTGTACTAATAAACAGATTTAAACCCTACACTTTACTAAATTCAATTTGGGCAGTTGGATAATGTTCTTAGCCCTTTCACTTAAAATATTAGCTTAAAGCCAAATGTACAATGCTGTGTAGTTGATAAATAAATTCGATAAATCAATTAATTAAACTAATTAGTTACTATTTCTTATTCCTAGAACTTTGTTCTGTATAAGTTGTTAAACGTCTAGTCGAATACATCCTTTATCTATTACATTATGTACATTAACTTACTAAAATGCATCGATAAATACAATATTTATTTCTAATTAGAATAAGGGTTACATGTACATAATATTAGTTCACTTTTCTTGTTGTTTTGTCTTTATTATTATTATGTTACGTTAATTCTAGAACTGTGATAGTATTTTTGACACCATTTACAAATAAATATAATGTAATATATATATATATATATATATATATATATATATATATATATATATATATATATATTGATGTTCAAAGTTATCGACTATTCATAACTGAGCAACTAAGTAAATGAAAGTTTACTTAGAACATCTACTAGTTCAAGGTTGATTACCTTTTTCAAATTAATACTATTTAGCCTGTTTATTTTGTTATATGTTAGTTCATTCTTGCATTAAGTAATTTATTATGATTTACAGAGTCAACTAAATCAGAGATGTGGTTGTAATTCATTGATTAAGCTGAATGGATTTTGTGAAATTGGAGTCTAACTTAACAAATCAATGATATCATGTTCATAATGAACTCTGAGGATTTAAAATTTTAAACCTTATACTGAAGTCATGTGTATATGTACTGATGAGATGTCTTGTACTAGGACAAAAACACTGTCCAGTCGTTCTAAGCTTCTAGTGGTTCTTAAACTAATTTGCAGTCACTATCAAAATTATGTAAACGATGTATTATTTGTTTTAGAATCAAATAAATCTTGGAGTGAAAATTGCTTAGTATTTTAACTACAGTTTACACACAGAATTTATGTTTCCAGCATTGCGTATGAGATTCAAATTCGGTAGATGAGATCTTACGAAATCTACATGATATATGATTATATATTATTTCATTCGGTTTTCGAAATGTAACTCGAAATGAACAGAATGTTTAAATTTTCTTAGCCTTAAAAACCTACCTTCAGTATGTTCTAGTGAGGTATTTTTAAAGGTACATCGTTTACTGGATATTTTCTAAATCACCTATTTCTTTTCGTATTGTATTTAGACCAGAATTGCGCTTATCAAATTGGTTTCATCTGTTAAACGAAACTAAATCCCTGAAATACCTTTGTCCTTGAAGTCAGCTACCAAATCGACGAGATTTTTCAACGTTGTGACATCTGACGAACTTCCGTCTAATATGTAAATATGTATATTTCAAAAGCTATATAAAAGTTTGTGTACTTGGCTATTCGTCACAATTATTATAGGAAAGCCAATGATCCTAGCTAGCTGCCAGAGTTCTACTGAGCGAAGCAAAAGTCGAATATATAACTTGGTGATTAGCTGCTGAAGTTGAATGATTAAACAAAGACAGTGATATATCAGAAGAAGTAAACACCAAGGTTATCTTTATATGGAATGCATACATATGCACCTGCATATGAATTTTTAAGATATTTTATACAAAATGAGATATGATATGTATTACGAGATCCAATTATGTGAAATTGATAGTTTCACTATCAAACTCAACGTTAACAGAACAAACTGTGAAGAAATTCTGATAATTAACTTCTATTTAAAGTATGTACTGATGTTGTTGTCAGAAATAAGCAACAACAGTGAAAGCTTCACTATCAAACCGTCAAGTTCACAAAACACAATATCTCCCAAAAAGGGTGTTGCGCATACACTTAGCTTATAGGTAAGAAAGGTTATATTTACATATTGTATGATAATGAGAATACTGTCCAGTGTTACTAAGAGCTACCTCGACACCAAATTTGCACATTAATGACAGTAAAAATATATACTGATAACAGAAATCGAGTACAATTTAATTACTCTAAAGAGATCAGTAAATAAGAATATCTTATTGTAAAGTAGAATCAATTTACTAACAAGATAATTGTGAATTAACTTGGTAATATGTATCTAATGATGAGTTAGATTTATGTGTCACCCATATATTTTAACTGCAATCAACAATCTACTTATGTTATGAAAAAAGTTTTGAGTAGTAATAATATGAGAATAATTTCAGAAAGCAAAAAGCATATATCAACACAGCGAAAGTAACATGCCCAACAGAATAAGGACATATACTTTGGATGAAAGAAAAATTTAGCAATACTATAACACTAGCTTGAATTCAATCTATTTAATTGTGTCATAGTATGCAGAAAGCATTTTAAAAGATTTGCCCAAGAAGATGCAAGCGAAAAAAAGTACGCAAGAAATTTGAATATACAAGCACAATTATAACGTTTTAAAAGTAAAAGAATAGAAAAAAGTAGTCGAAGTACACAACTTATTCATGTTGAACACAATCGAAAAATACACAAAGAAAAAATCGATAACGTTGTACACATACATATACATATACTTACACACGCACACACACTTACTTTTTCGACTTGCATTGTCTATTTAGTATTAAACGCAGAAAAATCAATTTAGGATTAAAGGGAAAAGAGTGTAGATAATGATCTCTCAGTAGTAGATCAGTTGACATAAAATTGCACCGAGAATCAAGGTGATCTATCCTACAACTACCATATTCAGTGAACGAAAAAAAAGATTCAAAGCAATTCGTAAGTACTAACCAGAAAAGTTACTACTCTTGTGAGCTACTTTTCACCGAGAAGTACGGAGTTCAAACCTAAAACCTAACTGTTGAAAGTCAAATACTGTATTCGTTGGACTACCATTTGACTAGACTATTCAGTAATGTAATAGAAAGGCTTAGAGCTCTTTTGGGGTTACTATTGATCCTAAGCCCGGTTAAACGAGGAGGGTTGGGGACGGGATTAGTAACCTCAACCCATAGGAAGCCTTGTTAAAAACGAACACCAGAAAAAATAATTCAAACCATAGACAGAATGATACAGTTATACCACTGAGGGTTTGTACAAGCTTGTCGGAGTTGGTATTACTTCAAGAATAATGTCTTTAGATTGGATCATTGAAGATAAAACATTGTTACTAAGTATGTATCAAGTAATGATAAAAATAGAAACTGGAAACAGGAAAATTATAATTTCAGGTTGGTTTGTTTTTTTAAAAAGACATTATGTAGTAAAGCATCATTATTCACTGCCCAGTGCTTAATTATATACTACGAAAGATGTGAAATAATTGGATTTCCTTTTCTAAAATAGCTTCTAATGTAGAACAGTTATTTTCAAGCTAAATGCTTACTATTCAACAAAATATATCATAATGTTAAAAACTATCATTTAGGATTGTAAATAGCACAACTATTCATCATCATTACATAATTACGAAATAATAAGTTAGATTTTATATTTTCTACACAAAACTTACTCATTTCTATTATACCATCAATAAATTCAGCTCTTGTAAGTCGACCATCTCGATCACGATCTTTACGATGAAATAAATCAATAACACGTGCTTTATTTGTACTTAACCATGAAACGTAACGTTGACGCCATGATTCAAAATGAAAATCTTTCATTTTTTCCACTTCATTTAAATAAGCTAAACGTTCATTTAATTGGGATTTACGTGTTAACATTGCAATCCATAATTCTCTCCAATTTAAATATAATTGATTAATATTCGGTGAAGTGAAAACTAATATAGATGGATTATGTTGTTGATTTGCTGTATTAATAGAACGGTTGAATAGATTACCACTGGGTCGTATTGGTAAACGACTTCGGCGATTATTATTATTAATATTATGAGATGATTTAACTGGTGTACGTCGTTTAGCATGTTTTATAATATTTTCATAAATAGGTTGTTTTTGTCTCACTTCTTCTTCTAAATGACTATGTAGATTGAGTAACTGTTCAATGATTTTTGAATCGGTTATTTCATTTAAAACTGTTGTAAAATCAGTAAGAATTTCAGGTTGTTTTAAATCTTTACTATTTATACTACTATTACTATTGACAACAACGTTAGGTTGGTGAACTAAAGAAGTAATAGTTGATATAGCAATACGTTCTTGAGTTATGGAAAATAAGTCTTTGGAGTCTATTGATTTTGAATCATTTGAGTCTAGTTTACTCTTAGCTGATTGTAAATTAGTCGATGAAGATGACAATGATGATATCGGTATTGATGTTGGAATACTTCTTAATTCACTCGTTTTAACATGTATCCAGTGCATGAGTTCTTCACGTTGAAGTTTACGTTTATTCTGTTCTTCTAAAGCTTCTTGCAAACGATCTCCACGTTGTTCAGACCATGAAGTTAACTGGGTAAATTTTTTGTTTAGAAAAAAATTAATGAATAACAATTAATGAAATTAACTTAAATGCAGTTAAACATACTAGATGAATTAGGTTATGGACACATTTATGTTAGTATTGCAAAACAAAATCACGAGGGAATGGAGGACGATCTTTTCTTTTAGTTCGTCTTTCATTAAAGTTGGTCATCTGATCCATTTAGATCGTGAATTCAATATTCCTAGTCACAATATTTAAAGTCCTTAGAAACTAATCTATTTTAATTGAAATAAGTAAGTACAAAATCAACGATTCATACCCAAAAGCATTATTATTCAAAATTACAAATCCTTTACTTTACAAGCTTGAATCAATTTCCGCCTAATTTGGTTTGAACCACCGAAGTGTCACTTGAAAGTTCTGACTCAAAGCTGAGTAAGCGAGTCTTCATTTTACTGTTGTAAAGGATTAGTTTGCTAAGTCAATCTAATTACCAAGACGGTATCGTTTTTCGAAACAGCTCTCCATGATATTTCTATACCTGTTAGACAACTACTGGAAATAGGATGTACAATCGGTAAACATCTCATCTGAATGTAGGACAATTTAATAAACTACAAACAAAACTCTTTCGTTATCTAATGGAGAAAGATTACAAAAACTTGATAATTTAACTATCCAACTCACCATGATTTTGTTTATACTCAATTGACATCAAGTTAAATTGAAAATCGTTTCCTAATTTATGAGAAATACAGTTTCACTAAGTTAAATTGGGCTTGATAGAATCAACTTAATCTATATCTTACAAAACGATTTTAGTTTTGAGTTTTAAAAATGTGAACATTCCAGCAGGAGTTCTTAAACAACAAATTCAATGATCAAAATGAATTTCATTTATAACATTTTACTTGATAACCTCTATATAATGTATTTGTTTGTTGGGGCCAAGAAAAAGATAAATAGCTGGATAATGATGAGGTATCTTGTAGTAACTAAAAGTTATTCTTAGTTAACATTTGTTAATGTATCTTAACTCTTATTCTTCATACGGGAATTTAGAGATTATAAAACTGGGTGGCTTGATACATAATTAATATGTGATAATAAAATGAAATCAATTAACCTTAATCCAGTGGTTTTATTTTGTTTTCTATACGTGTTGAAATAGGTGAATATTAAAAAGAGTATCTATTAGGAGTATGTGAAGTATTTATAAACTGGTTATCATAATTCAGAACAAGATAATCAGCAAATAAGTGACAGGTCACAGATATACTGAAATTAGGCTTCACTTATTCAATTGCCAATTAATTAAACTTGTAACACTAAAGAAACTAGCTAAATTTTCATTGAACAAGCAACATAAAAATACTCAATCTATCAGATACAATAAAAGTATATAACTACATGAAACTAGCAATGGAATTATATGTAATTAACTGATTCTCGTGTTACTTCCTACTTTCTTATCGACAATATTCCAGAAATAGTTTTGAGGGGAATGTGTAGGGAAGGTAGCGACATCGAAAACAGGAATAAAAGTATCTTTTTTGTAAGGAAATATAAACTCATATATTTAATAAGAAGTCAGCCTGTAAATGTTCAAGGTCGTTAAGTTACATATCACTCAAAGGTAAATTACTATTTAAATTCAGTCGTAACGTAGAACTTGGTATACATGTACATCGGTTCAAGTAGCCACACTCCATTAGGCCAACGAGATCAAATCGTTAGGGCGAATCCAGTAGTACTAGAGGTAGTACCAATATTAGTGGTAATAAAAAAGGTTAGTCATCAAAGACACTATTAGGGAAGAAAATGTAAATTAATGAAATAAAAAAATTATGAGGAATTGAGAAGTTTAGAATCTGGGAGAAGACAAAGAATGAATGCGCCATTGCGAACGGTTTCGAGCCATGTTATTCAAGGTCTTTAACCACCGGTTACGGTCATCACGCGGATCTTAACTGGGTTATACATACCTATTACGGTGGTTCAGTCCAGTTGTCGTTGACTTTATGGAAACCAATGCATCCACTGATCCTTGATGCTTATTAATCAATGATTAAAGCCAGCGACTGTCATGCTACAGTTATTTTGCAACATATAAAATAACTAATGGGAACTCAGGATGGTTATTTATGCTTATTTTCTGTTTTTTGGTGAGATTTAATATCCCTTACTCTTCTTCGGTTTATTAAGTTAAAAGCATTCTTCTATATATCACAAAAATGCATCAAGTCTACACTGTAAATGGAAACGGTAATAATAATAATAATAGCCATATGTACAGTACGCATACCTCCTCCCATCGTGTACGAATAGTATTAACCCATTGACGTAAGCGTTTCACAGCTGCTGGATGAGCTTGAGATAAAAGTTTATTTCCTAATTGTAAAGCAGCTTCAACTCGATCAGCTTGATTCATTAAATTAGAATGTGTTTGTCGATGAGCTGTAATTGCATCTGTTAAATTAGTTGGTGGATTGTTAGTGCCAGCAATTTCCAGTTCGCCATCATCATCAAAGGTGGGTAAAGCAGACAAACGATGAATAACACGTTCTGCGCCAGCAAAATAATCCATTAAACTTCGACATGTATCCTGAAATTGCTGCGCCTGTAAGTGAAGACAATAGTATTTGTGAAATGTATCTACTTGAGAGGATGCTGATAACATAAGTCAGTAATAAAATGTACGTTAACTTATTTGGCTTTAAGATACAATTTTTCTAAGAGGACTGAAAATCTACCAAGCTTCTCAAACTGATATGTGTGCGTTGAGTCTTCAACTTGTGAATTAATGATTACAATTTAAATGCCTCAACTACCTAATATTTAATATTTCACTATACAATTCGTAACCTATAGTGCTATAAGTAATCTAAAATACCATGTAATGAAGATGCGTTTATCTGACAAGGTAATAAAGTTGTGTGATAAAAATACATAATTTGAATTAAATAACCTCGAAAATTTGAACAATTTAAAAACGGTTTCTTAATCAGAAACAAGCAAGCATTGGAAACTAAGGTGTACTTGTTGAGTCGTGTTCTATGTTAAGCCCATATAGTTTATTCTAGCTTGCGGGTAGACCAATTTATTCGTTCTTTTTGAGTCGTATTTTGACCTCGTTAATTTTTCGCTTATCGACCTTGACTGTTTCTATGTAAGCGTATGTGTGTGCAGTTCTTATCCTACTCAACAAATGTCTGTAACTTATTTTTGTCTGACTATAAATATCGATCCATGTTTGGTTAAATCGAGTTGGTTAACACACACCTTCTTCACTGAGGGTCATTTAATTTCGCGGTGAGACTATAATTTATGGACGACCTCTAAGCGACGATAAAAATACCTTGAGGATGTCCATCTGCATACTACGGCTAAATGATGGTTATAAACCAGTGAGTAATTAGGATTAATATTTACGGTTGATAGATAGGGTTAGGAATTTGATTTAGGGTTCTCATCACGAACTGACATCAGCTATAATGCCAAAACTATATTTAGCCAAGTGAATGAATTAGTTTCGCGTCAAAAGTCAAGACCTGTTATCGTAAACTTGATTGGTTCGTCCACAAACTATAGTCTCACTAGTTTCGCTTCTCTCCTCTTCTTTTCCTTCGCTCCGTCTCCTTGACTGTCTGTTCAGACCAACGATTGTATGAAATATACGTATTCAAACTTCATTCTAGTATTCGACTTATTTAATCCCGTTATTCACAAACATGAGTTAAGTCAATGATTATATACGAGGGTAGCCAGGATGTATATTTCGATAACTTGATGACAATCATTCGTACGATCCTATTGGAATCAGATATCGGGCCACTAAATACTAAACAGTTTGTTCTTAATACCCTATGACTACATAGTGTGATATAAGTTAAAGTATTTCAGGATTAAACCCAGAACTTCCAGTTATTATAGTGAGCACCCTACTGTTAAGCCAATAAGATGTAACCAAATGGTCAGTACTGCAATGTTTTACTATATATCGCTACCATTCTTCAGCGTCTGAGACAATGGGTGACACTTTGTAGACGCCAATCTTTAGCACTGGATGCAAATCAAGTAGAATATGAAACTAGAAAGCGATGATTGACAATAAGAATAGACGAAAATGTAAGAAATGGAGAAGAGAAAGAGGTTGACAGTTTGACCTGCACCAAACCGTCGAGGGCCACATAGAAGTTCGCTATTTATTAAAAAAGACTAGCCCGCCTCTCTGCTTCTAGGATGTCAACATCACTGAACATGTGAGTTATCCACCGAGGAACAACTTACTACCCCAGCATTGTGGTAAAGTCCAAAGAATAACCTTGTCCTCAAAACTGGGACATTCTGGTTTTGGTCAAGACATCCTTCATCTAGTATGTTTGTAATGGTAGGATCTGATGGGACAAGTGTTGTATTCAATATATCTGGAGATCATCGAGTTAAGGTAATAGCTACGGTTGGAATTCGCTACTACTTGAGAGAAGGTTTGAGATGCTATAGACCTAATACGATACATCTCACATATAAAGTGAACCTGAGAATAATTATGAAATAATGAGTCGGCATAAGTGAAAAAAACTGAAAAGTGGAATACATAACACAGGAAATTTGTTTTTCATGATTGGTTTTATGATTTGGACTGTCAGAGATAGTTGAGCTGATCGGGAGTTCTTAAAAGTCCGCCTGCTTACTAAGCGGAAATATCTATTGATAATTATTAAATACTGGCGGCATCATGATCACACTGGATCTCGTGACAAGCTATTATACAAACATAGTACAGTCACCATTATTATTAAGATGTATTCCAGAAAACGGAAATATTTTTGATTAATGTATGAAATTCCTATCGATCCATGACTTTTACACTAGTAGATTATGTGACAACCAATTAAAATAAATTGTGAAGTAGGTTAAGATCATTAAAAAATATTTGCATACCAGTTAATGCAAATATTACAAGGTGTTTACTCAAATATTACCATTTTTAATGCATGATCCAATCGTTCACTTCGACGTTGAGTTAAATTCTGTACACGATCCCATATTTTAGATAAATGATTTAATTGAGCTTGCATAGCAAACACATCAGCTTGATTGCTAGCTGATGAACCAGCTCCAGAGTCAGTAGTAGATGAAGCTTTATTCATTAAATCACTGGCAGCTTGATGTATTAATTTCACAGATGTGGCACGTTGTTCCAGCTCAGCTTTGAAACGATTATGAGATTCTAACAATTGCTGAAATACGAAACAAATAATTTACATTTTCATCCGTATAACAGGGTTTTATAAGAAACTAATGTTTAAAATACAGAAAATGTGACCTGGTTGAATCAATTTTAAACAATAGCCGTGTATGTAGTCAATTTAGTTATCAACCCAACACCTAAATTAGTAATCACCAACAAGGCTAAGTGCAACCTCGAAAAAGAGGTTATACAACTTATCAGTGAAGTGAAAAAATTAGCATCGATCAAATCCATGAGCATATAAGTTACTTAATAGCATGGTTGGATCATAACTGATGAACTGGCTAAGTTGGTGTTGGTTAAACAACAACTGATAACCAGCCAAAAAAGTTCAGTAAAGTTAGCTCAAAACTTTTCAATAATGTTCACAGTCGATCAACAATTATAATTAAGAAGTGGCTAACCTCAACAATATCCACATCACCATAGTTTCCAGTTTGTTGTTCAGCTAATTGTGGTTCAATCTTACTCAACCAATCAAGTAAAGCTTCCAATGCTTCTTTATAAAGACCAGCTGCCAAGAGAGCTTGTTCTAAAGTGCGTTGTCTAAAAGAGAAGGGAAAAATTGGATATGATATATATGTCTATACAGAAAATCAATGTCCCAAATAGTGTCAAGTCAGTCAATTGGATAGAATTCGTATGTTCATATTTTCTACAATTCAGTCACTTTTTAATGCGGTGTAAAATGCCCGTGCAGTGCTCTGTAACTAATTTAATTTTACTAGCTTTGAATCAAGTCGTTATTCGGTTCTTTTTCTGAAATCCAGAAACACGGCTAAATCATGAATCACTTGTTATCCATGCAGTTCAAAACAAGGTCAGGAGATTTAAAGTTCCACTCATCCCATGTAGTATACAATAAATGAAAACTAAATCATGAGATCATTAGTAACTAACTGCGAAGACTAAACCCAGGAGTTCTAGTGAGAATACGACCATGTTAGTAGCGAAGTATTTACTCATCAATAGCAACGGATAGTGATTGCAAAATATCATGAATTGATTGAAGTTATTAATCCAAACTACTGGATACCAACTCAGTGCTCTGTAAGTTAAACATTTGCCAGGAGGCTTGAGGATTTTGGGTTGGATTTCCGTTGGGTTCGTGGGTGTGCACTCCCGAGAAGTTCCATAATAAGACGAAACGGCTGTTTAGTGATCCTCGACTTTCAACAAACATCTGACTAGGGTCAGTTAAATAGAGAGCCAATCAGAAGTGGAGAAAAGGTCACACGATGGTAACCGAAAGTGACCTAAAGGTCAAATGCATTTCGGTGGGGTCAATGGGTCAATCTTCTAAGGATAGAGTGGTATATATAGGAATGAGTAGTTGGGTATTTCACTTGGTATTCCAATACACTTTCTCGCTCACTCGTCTGTTCTCGCTCAAGTAGTCAGTTGGAGGGGGGTGGTCAGCAAATCACATATTCTGTATCAGTATCAGATTTCGGACACCACACGTCACAAGTCAGTTTGTGATTGATATTACAAAAATACATCTATTGAGTGGCTCGTGAGATTATTGTCTAAATCTAAAATAGTCAATATCTTTATTCCGAAAATTCTAAATCGATACTCTTAGCATTATTAAGTTTATTATGAGCTTTTAACAACTTGGTAAAAATTTATACGAAAAACAAATTAGACAAGCTTGATGGGCCCAAACAACCGTTTAGGAAAAGCACTACTAACCCATAAATTACAGTAATGTTACATCGAAAAATCAATAAAAGTGAAAACTGTATTTACTTCAAAGTGGCTAAACGAAAGAACTGTTCGGTAACCCACAGTTGTGTGCATTTTAAAGTATCTTCAAAGTAAGCAAATTTCTACTAATCAACTCACTGTGTATGTGCCGTTTGTTTCAAAGAACATGAACTGTTAAGTCTCAAAGATTACTGAACCATTCTAAATTTATCATGTTTCTATTAAATTATAAAGGGTTATTATTAAACTTGATTCTTTCCCTCGCCTTATTTCATCAACATATATGACCTTTCATTTTTGGATTTCCTTGTAACAATTGTTGCTGCAATACCATATCGCGAAGATTAAAGCAATGAATAGTTACATAGACTATTTGAGATGATCATGACCGGTAGACTGATTTTTACTGACGATAACTAAGCTCAAAAACGTGGTGATCGGACAACTGACCCGGTCCTCCATTGACAAAACTGCTACGCCTTACAGCTAAATAGATCTCAGTTTCATTTTATTTATAGAGTGCAGTTCTTGCATTCTATGTAAACGGATGATATACACTTGTCAGCACCTTATTTTTTTAGCTGTCCAGTCAAGTTTTTTCAACTCCAATCCTCTAGTTCCTCCAGAGAGTAGAAGATCGAACACTGCTGAAACTAGTTTCAAACATTGACAGTGAATATAATACGTGGAATATAACAATCATAATGAATGCATAAGTTATGAATGAGAAATTTTGTATTAGATCATATTCATTACTTGTTAAAACTAGTTTATAAAGAATGACGGTACGGATAAGTTCATGCGAATTCATGATTAAAGTATGAATTTCAGATTTAGTTATAAATGATATTTAATAGAAGGTTAGAGATTATGAAATTACCTCGCTAAGGCTTTCGTACACACTGCTTGCCATAAATGCTTTAATTCACTGACCATATCATCTAATTCATCATGATCACATACTGGTGCTCTATCACGTAGTTGTCTAGCGTAACGACGCACTCCATCATAAGCCACAGTACGTGTGCTTAATGCTCGCTGTAATTCACGATGTAATGCTAATTGATAAGCGACTTTCTCAGGTCTTGTAGCGACACGATCACCATCTTCCTCCAATGAAGCTAAGTTTTCCTTTAACCAATCTGTTAACGATGTCCAGTTATCCAGAAAGTTACTGGCCTCCTAAAATTTAATCGAAAAGATCATATCACCTTTAAGTAGAATATCAAATCATTCGTCCGTTACTTAAGTATTCCAGCATTATGAGCAAAAGTAGCCAGTCAATCTAAAACGTACCAGCACATTTAAACTTTAAGATGCTTTTATATAACAGTTATTCAACTCATTATTTTTGCCAATACGTGGATCCATTCTTTTCTTTCTGTTCAAGAAGGTCGAATAGTTCAAACTGTCATTTGCTGTTATTATTAATTCCGGTTAATTATCTACGTTTTCGTAGTTGTATTTCACTCTATAAAAAGCCAATTAGCTACATAAAGAACCCCACAGTTAAGAATCACTCATCAATCTCTACAGCACTTTCAATACTACTTAAACAGTAAAATTTGTACAAGTTTACGTGACGTGAATACAGAGTGATTCAGTCAGCGAAAAGTAATTTAAGGTCGGAAATAAACGTGTTCATGTATTCAACTTTGAAAAGCACTTCTATTTGGGAATCAGTAATACTAAGAGGACTGTCTAGATCAAAGTATATCAAGAGAATTTCAATTCTGGTGAATAAATCGTGGAAGTCAAGTCCCCTAACCAATGTGCATACGTGCCAACAAAATTGCCAAAGATGAGGAACTAAACAACACAATGTAATTTGTTGAGTTTCAGGTTAGGCGCGTAAATGAAGAGGAAGAGTGAACATGTGATGCGAGATAGTAAGGCACATAGAACACTACCTAGAAAAAAAACGGGGCATGTTTTACATAAGAAGAAAGAGAGTACTCATTCAGACGACTAAGAAAACTCATTGTCTTTTATTTTCCTCCTGGATAGCTAAAATGAATCACGTAAACAAAATACTCCTTTATATTTGTCAGGATATATTTACCGCACTGACTATCATCTATTCATTTGCAAAGAAACAATATGCAGTAGACAAAACGATTTTTACAGGGAATAGACTATTCAGAAAATGAAAGAATTACCATGGTATTTTGGAAGAAAGCGGAAAACAACAAACTAACCTTCAGACCAGTGTTAAGTTGACGTGTACGTTCTGCACTACGTGAAACTAATTGCTCCCATCTAGTATGAATACTAGATAAAAGATTTTTTACCAATATTACATCTTGTTTTTGTGATTGACATTGTATTTGACTTGCTAAACGATCTAAATTAATTAAAGCATCACGATGTCCAGTAATTTCTTTGCGTAATTCAGTGTGATCACGTATTAATTGAAATAGGCGAGCTACAATACGACTGACTGGTTTCTGTTGTAGTATAGTACGTTCCATTTGTGTAAGCCATTGCATCATTTGTGATAAATGATCATGTAATTCTTCGACTTGTTTTAAACCTAATTCCATACGGTCACGAATATCTTGAGCATGTTTTAACAACTGAGCATAATGGTCAGAGAAACGTTCAAGATTAGTAGTTAATTGATTACATGACTCTGCTGCTGACTGATTAACTAACAATGCAGCTGAATTTCGACGCAGTTCATCAAGCTGTTTACGTAGGGAAAAAGAAAGCACGAGTTAACTTAAGCATGCATAAACATATAGCAGCTACCCTACCAATTAATTTCGGTTAATCCCTTTTATTAACTTAACAGACAATATATATATATATATATATATATATATATATATATATATATATATATATATATATATATATATATATATATATATATATATATATATTAGCCTTTACCTTGCTTAGCTGTGCACTTATTCGATTTGACTATAAATTTGCCTCTGTATGTATATGCTCACATACAAATTCGCCAGTCTGCCTCAAATTCGCTCGATGTGCTTAAAGCTTTGTTATTCGTGCTATGCGCTAATAATCTATGGTTGCCACTTCTTATTGCCTTCTGATTTCAAACACCGTGAGATTTATATAATAACGGTGGTTGATTAACGAAGCAAAGCCACTACAAATAAAATGAAGTAATTACTACTGTCTACAATAAGCATATGACAAATAGTTGAAGTAAATACATTATTTACCTCTGATCCAATTTTTACAAGTTCATCATAAACTTCCATGAAGCGACGTAACTGTTCACGTGCACTATCTGGTAAACCACCCATAATGCGTGCACCTGGTGGGGGCATTCGACTTTTTAACTGTCGAGTGCGGCGTATAAGTTGATCCAGTTGACCATGAAAATTAAAGGTCTACAAAATAAAAAGATTTGAGATCATTTGAAATATTGATGTCTGTAAGAAAACTGCAAAAGTTGTAGCGGAAGATATTTAACATGTTTGTTCCACGCAGTTCATTGGTAAGGTCAAATTTACTGCATTTTAATTCATTGCCTTTTTCCGGCTTCTACTATGCAGTTAAAAGTTGTCTCCTACTCATCTTTATTTTGTCATCGTTGAAATAATGAAAACGTAGCTTGTGATATTTTCCAACAATTTACTTCCAAGATAGAGTGTCATCAATTATAGACAACGTGGAATGTACATTAGTTATAATTCTTTTTTTCTTATTCAATGACACTATGGGTTATTTTAATTCTCTTTTAGTTAAACTAATATGAATTAGTCATAAACAGTTACTGCTTTGAGTGAAACAGGTTATTTAAAAAAACTATCTGTACAGACCATCATACCTCACTCAATGCTTCTTCTAATGCTGCTTGTTTATTGCGTACACTCAGTTTCAAATGTTCCCATGCTTTATTCATTTGAATAATTTTATCTCGGATATCTGATGTTTTAAAATCTGAAGTCTGTGATTTTCTTTTGACATCTTTATCAGTATCTACTCCAGAGGGTTTATCGATTTTGTTGCAATCAGCACGTTCTAATTTCCTTGCTTGTTCTTCTATTCTTACAACAGATAATTGATGACTGTTAATATTGTGATGAATTACCTTAGTGACAAAGTAAAAGAGAAAAATAATTAACCAAGAAAATTATAAAACTACATAACTCATAAATATTAAGCATTGATTAATAGGCAAAAATTCAGACTTGGTTACTTTAACTTCTGCAATGAAAACATTTTAAGTTGTTAGCATTGTAAACTGAGATCGTAATAACTGAGTGAGACTAAAAATATACTTAGTTGATGAATGTAAATAAGAACGAAAAGTTGATCAAGTGCATACTATTGATCATCTTTAGATTTTCAGGCTAAAACATTCTACACATACAGAAACTTTAATGGCTGAATTCATGAGTCGATTTAAGCCAGACCTCCATGGAAAACCTGGAAGAACTGGAAGGATATTTCGCCATTTGTATGGGACTCTTCAGCGGTGTGTGTGCGGGATCGTGGATGCGCACTGCTGAGGAGTTCCATACTAGAGCGAAACGTCCGTCCAGTTCTTCCACGATTTCCATGGTAGTCTAGCTTAAATCGACTCATGAATTCAACCGTTAAATTACTACAATTTCTACAAACTCACATACAGAAACGTTATATTTTAGTAACTGTAGTTAAATAAGTTTAGTAGGGTTTATGGTATTTTAACAGCTTTTATGTTATTAAACACCCGCATGATTTAACCCTACTTCTGAACAGGCTTTATTAACTCAGATATTATTTGACTACCGGGTCATTTTTACCTTCTTACTAACTCTATTGTCTTCATAGGAGATTATGACTTGCAGTACCACTACTTCATAGATTCATTTCCTTGTAAATCTATACCTATACATCTCATGTATGCTCGTATATATCTGTACTCTTATTTCTTCATCAAATGCCTGTCTCCTTATTGCATCATGAATTATTTGCTGTTATTTTTACGTTTATAACGAGTAATATTTTAAGTAGATCTGTTTTCTTCACTTCTTATCTCTTCGTCTATCTCCCAAATATATGAAATACAGAGATCCGAAACATTCGTATTTGAATTTTTATATCCATGTTACTATTAGCGGGACTTGTCGATATAACATATACGAAATTGAGTAAGATATGTTTCAATAACATCAAGGTCATTCGATCGTTATGCAGTCAACAACAGGCACTAAAGCAAAATGCTGTGATTAGACATTATTATTTCATAACTAAAGTATACTGAATTATTAGTCAGTTAATTACATTACCAAATGAATTACTCTTCGAGCTTTTATGCTTAGATATTTTTTTATGTTGACCTTTTCATGGACATCATTCAGTGTTGTCCTACTTAAAAAGAAGTTATACAATATGATGTTGAGAAGAGTTAAAATAACATCACATCATATTAGCAAATACATATTTTAAAGTAAGGAATATTTAGTTAGCACATATAGAGCATACTCCAGCTTCTAGAAGAATATCTGACCCCAAAGGATATTTGACTAATAGACCATAACAACGTAATCCAATTTCTTAGCGAGTTCCTATACGTTCTGTATTATTGTAAATCAGATTTGCATTTCTGAATTCTAAACAGATATTATGCTGTATAACTTATAATCTACTTGTGTGTGAATAAATGAGTACTGAAAACAGTCTTGGTATTTTGAAAGTATGGAATAGTGTTTCACAATTTGCTAACCGCATCCCTTGTTAATTAATTTGAGAAAAAGATCTTTTCTTTGCACTTAAAGTAGGCCACGTGTTACGTATGCCTGAACAAAAATTACCACGTTGTGCAATGCTAACGGGTGTTAGAGATGGTTGGGAGAAAGTTAGGGGCAGCCAAACCAAAACGTGGCATCAGTGCTTGAAGTTACTAACGTCTGATCTGAGCCATATTGGTAGATGCAGACTACTTGATTGGGGGCCGCGTGACTGTCGTAACCAATGGTTGGAGACTCTGAGTGACATGGCTCAGAATCTATCACAATAGCGTAAATGTATACACTCTCTGTCTTCCCTTAAACTAAGAGATTAAAATCACTTCATATCTTTCTTTTTACGAACTAATTCTTTCTTCCTGTACTATATCCTTATATGCAATCTTTCTCCCATATATTACCATCATTGACTTAACTACTTTTATGAATCCGGTGTTCATCTTGTTGTGCTAATGAGGTATGGCAACTTGGACCGATGTATATATGTGCCTGGTCTTACGTTGTAGCTGACTGACTGACTGACTGACTTAAAGTATGCTCAATAAATATAACTACTTGTAAGTAGTGTAGATATACTTAAAAACTTTTCAGGGGGTTGTTCATAATCCAAGATTTATGTAACAATCGTATGGAGTAGCTTATAAGTCTACGAAACTAGTAAATGAATATGGCACATTCAAAACTCATTACTTCATCTCCATTTTCAGTATCAATACGATTTAAGACCATAACATTGTATTGATAGCGTGTGATAAGTTTGACAAATAACTGTTTAAGTATGAATAGGTATGGCCAAAATAATAATTGTGATTATTATTCAAGCCAATTTTTATGTCCATAACCACATGAAACATAAAATAATATATATGAACACACACAGAAATAGGTACACATTAACACCACATCCCACATAGAGTAAATTATGCAACATCCAAGTGATTATCACACAAAATAAACAAAATAATATGAAAAAAGATAGAAAATGGGAGAAATGTGAGAAATGATGAGTTATTTGAAGTTAAAAAGATATTCAATCAAAATTAAATAGTCAAAAAATACATTTCTCACAAAATCAGAAATTCTAACTGGTTTTTAACTGAATTATAAACTTAAGTATTTAGAGATAGAGATGCTAAATCTATAGATTAAACTAATGAGGAATATCGGAATCGCAACTTTATGCTTGTTAGTATTGTCTCACTTTACGAACCTTGTGCCTTAGAAGTATTTTGAAACTTTTCCATTAACTATGGTATATACTTCTCTTAACACGAAGATTTTTACACGAAAAGGCTACTCAATAGTATTATGAGTTTGAATTCGTTCATTTCAAAAGCCTAATAAAATCATAACACTTGAAAAAAAACCCAGTTATTTCTGCTATTAAAAGTTAGTATCATTAACTGTTCGTTCACACAGGTTCATATTGAATTTTAATGGTGGACTAAACATTCGGGAAATTCCAACTTAGATGGTCGAATCAGTTATTTGGCCGGATTAAAACGATATTACAAATGTGAGATTTAGATGGTGGTTGGAAGTAGTCAACAGGAAACCCTGGATCCGGGTTTCGTGCTACTTGGCACTCGTCAACAAGGTGTACCTGTAATCTTGAGGGAACTGGTGCTCCCTGGTGGATTCGATCTCGTGTCACCCAGCTTCATAGTCAGAGACGTTACCACTGAGCGATCCAACTACCATCTAATCTCAATATATAGTGCCCACAATGTCGAGTCACCTAGACTGGTGGCCACATTGCAACATGGTCGATATCATTCGATCTGCACTAATAAGGACTAGACACACATGACATTGATCGCCACCCAGTGATCAATCAATTGTGAAATGTGGGATTTCTTTTTACCACAATCGCATATTACTGTATAGAGATTCTACATTTAAAATATGAAGATATATATTATTAAGTCCTGCATCTTTTGAGAAATTCCTGTTTATAATATTCAAGAGTAATTTGGATATTTCTATTATAATAAATTGAGAAAATAAAATGGGCAAATATTTTTTTATAGTTTCTTGTCAGACTTTACATTACAATGAACTATATAGGTAATTGTAAGATATTTGTATAATCATTGTCACCATAATTAATTTCTAATTCGTGTATTATAATCTTGTTGATCATCAAAACAGTCTGAATGATCGAAATGGCTAGTTTTATTTTTAATTGTAAAACATAAAGAAAGTTTACTGAATTTAGATATTCAAGAATGATTTGAGAAATATGCATGAATTCCAGAAGACATTTTCTAAGTTAAGCAAATTGTTTGAATAATACGTATGTTCCAGTAATATCCATTTTTTTTTTTAACAAAAAATGAATTAATAGGAACTGTTAACTAGATATTTGTATTACCAACGCGTATTAAGTAGTGCAATAACCCATCCGTCATAAAGAAGCAGTTTTTTTTCAAAAAGAGATTGGTATAAATAGTAGTTAAATAAAGTGTTGATGAGAATTAACGTCACTACTGACTAAGGAAATTAAAATGATTTTCAAGCCATGAACACTTCACTATAATTAATATAAGTTAGAAGATTTATAGCATTAACGTTTCTATCCCATTCGTTCATCATACTGTCAATATAACAAAATAAATAAAAGAATGGTGAAATAGTAACTACAAAAAGGTTATCGAACTCAAGAAACAAATGACTTACTTTAATGCGTGCTAAATCGGCTTCTAATCCTCGAATATTTGCCCGACGTATAGGTATTTGATCTACAGCTGTTTGCATTTGATCAATCCATTTAATTAATCCATCAATAGCACTTTCAAATTCACCTAAACCAAGTAGAACAGTTTGTAAACGATGACGTCTACTATTGCCAGAATCTAATAAATTGTCCCATCGTCGATTAGCTACAGTTAGATCAGATTGTAATGATGTAGTATTTTGTACTGGAAATGTTCCGTCATCGCCTGTAAAAAAATCAGTAAAATGGAATAAAATGTAATGAGCATGTAATGTGCATAGTAATTTATTGGATATAAAGTGTATAAATCGCTAATTCACTTCCGAGTACAAATTTCATACAACTATCGGTCAGTCAGTAAGCTACAACGTAAGACCAGGCATATATTGCCATACCTCATTAGCACAACAAGATGAACACCGGATTCATAAAAGTAGTTAAGTCAATGATGGTAATATATGGGAGAAAGATTGCATATAAGGATATAGTACAGGAAGAAAGAATTAGTTCGTAGAAAGAAAGATATGAAGTGATTTTAATCTCTTAGTTTAAGGGAAGACAGAGAGTGTATACATTTACGCTATTGTGATAGATTCTGAGCCATGTCACTCAGAGTCTCCAACCATTGGTTACGACAGTCACGCGGCCCCCAATCAAGTAGTCTGCATCTACCAATATGGCTCAGATCAGACGTTAGTAACTTCAAGCACTGATGCCACGTTTTGGTTTGGCTGCCCCTAACTTTCTCCCAACCGTCTCCAACACTAGTCATACGATTATCACATATTAATCAAACAATAACGGTATAATACTCCGCAAATTACCAACAAGGTGGACAGAAGAATGGAAAGGATAGATTGTAGGGGCTGGTACTATGTCAAGCACACAGGTTATTCTAGCCTCTGAACAGACCAATCTATTTATTTTCCTCAAGCCACATTTTTACCCTGTGACTTATTTGTTTATCAACCTTCACTTTTGTTATTTAATCGTACGTGTGTGAGTTGACTCACTCACCTTCGCTTTCCGATCAATGATTGTACAAAATATACGAATTCAAAAATTCATTCTCGTATTTCACTAACACGAGTTAAGTCGATAATTAAATGCGAGGATTGGCTACGTATATAAGTCGATAACAATCGGTCATATGATCTAATTGGAGTCAGATCACGGGCCACCAAAAGATCTTGACGAAAGAGACTTGATCATACTTCAAGGAAAGTCAGTGATGTGGACAATGCTATTGATAATATACTGTTTGCATTACATCGGATTACAAACAATAAAATAGTTATATATAAAGGATTATGGAACTCTCAATCTGCAGCGATAAAGTAATAAGTCGAACGGTTATCAAATTATTCATAAAGTGACCCCAGAAACTAAAAAAACTACTGGTTCCGAAAAAAAGCTAGAGTACATTCTGATTACGGTTTGATCAGAAAATATAGAGTTTCTAAGGTCCTTTATTTTGACGCCGATTGGATCGAACGAGTGATTGTTGTCGACGGGTTGACTACATTAGTGGTGGCCCTGTATATGACTGCAGTTCGATCGTATGAATGATTGTTATTGAATTATACATCCCGGCTACCCTCGTATATGACCATCGACTTAACTCGAATTAGTGAATAAGGGAATTAAATAACACGAATAAAAGAATGAAGCTTGAATACATATATTTCACACAATCGTTGATCTGAACGGACAATCAGAGACTGAATGAAGGAAGTGAAGAGGAAAGAGCAAAGCGAAACGGATCAGAGAAGGTATGTGAGCTAACTCGATTTAAGCAAGTGTGAATCTATATTTATAGTTAAACAAAAAATAAGTTACAGACATGTGATGAGTAAGATAATAAATGCACGCACATACGATCATATAGAAAATAGCCTGGGTTACTAAGCCAATAAGTGATAGGGTAAAAATGTGGCTTGAAGAGAATGAATAGATTGGTTTGTCCAGAGGCTAGAATAACCTATGTGCGCTTGACATATTACCGATCCCCACAAGAGGACTCTAAATATCGTTGGTCATCCTCTTCATAATATAATACTGATTATTTTATGGTTGTGAATATGCTTCTGACATTTCGTTTTGTTACTTTGCAAACTTAATAAAAGTAATGCACAATGGTGTTGTATCATTTACCTTTAATAGTAGAAAACATTTGATTAATACTACGGAATTCCCCAACAAAACCAATTATTAATAGACATATTTTTGTTATATCTCAATGAATAAAAAATCGTATTTCTGAGGTCTCGTGACTTGATGTAAGCCACTTCTTCAGAGTAAATAAATAACCGACATTAAATGAATACAAGTTTAAATAGTACATAGGAAACCACTTATTTAAAAGACAACAAAGCACATGGTCTGAATTAGTCATAAGTAAAATTGTTAATTAATTTTTCTTACTTGTATCATCCAAAGTAAAACGTTCATTATCTGTATTAGACATCAATTTTCCAGCTAACCAATTTAATGCTTCAACTTCGGAATGTTTATTCATTAAATTATCATTCCATTGAACAATTTCATCTAATTGTTTCGTAACAATATCAACATTATTTGATATAGGCTGAAAATTATCCCATACACTTTCCTGCTCCGTCAACCATTTTATTAAATTTATTAAATCAGACTAGAATAAAAAAAAGAAGATTGGGAAAAAGGCATATATATACACGATGCTTGCATCATTCGCGTATTTTTCCCCTATTTGTATATACTACTTTATTAACACTTAAGTAACTACGAATATACAATGAAATTTGGAGTGTATCTATTGTTCTTAGACTTATTAATCCGGTAAAATTCAAGTGAAACACTTGAATTTAATGTATGATATGATGCTAAGTTATAATAATTAAGATTTTTATGAGATGGAAACTTTGTGTGGATGTAGTTCATATATATGATTCTTTACATAAGTCAAGGTAAATAGGTTTTGCTTAAAGTTTTATTACTGAAAGTACCGACTTTTTAAGACACAGACTGGCACTTAGAGGGGGGGGGGTAACATTTGTGAAGAAACCTTCCAAAAGTTACATCATTTGGACCCATAATTTTAGGAGAGCTCATTTTTATGTTCTGTCAGTAAATTATAGAGGGCACTCAAATGATTAAGTTTGTTAGTGTAATTACGATTGTGTCTACGGACAAGGATGTGTAGACTGTAAGGCATTGTATAGTCTGGAGTCTGAATTCGTGACTCGTGCCAAAGAACATTTAATCTATACAAAAGACCTCTAAATAATCTCGCAAAACTAGAATTTCTACAAATTAATTTAGAGCTATCAATACATTCTATCTTTAAAAACCATCAACTCGATATTAATTATATCAAGATAATTCAAAAAAAACGTTTTCTAATTATAAGGAAATGCGATTGGCTGAAGTATTTCAAATTTCGTTAAACGAAACCGCGCTTAACGATCCATCCTTTATGGGCCATTTATCAATACAATTAATCCTATTCACATCTAACATCATAAACAAACATACAAACATATAAATATCACACTTTCCACACTCACTAACACATACACAAATACACACAGCTAGATCTCACATAGAATAACCATGATCAAAATAACTTGATCAAACATATTCAATTTTGATTATACTAAAGATATTCTGTTTTGCTTTCTTTGTACTACTTAAAGTTGTGTTAATTTAATTTGTTGCTTATTATTGTTATTCTATGAAGAATTGAGCTATACTACATCACGGAACGTCAGAAATTTAATTTTCTACTCATTGGCACTTAACAAATATATTATAGAAAACACTTACTTAAGCCTGTTACCCCTCGTGGAGGAGCATAGGCCGTCGACTATTACAGGAAACAGGTGATGAATAATTTTAGCATTGGAACTAAGAAATGAATGTTAGCAAGAATAATGTGTTTTTATGTAGATTTTCAACAGAGTTTGGTTGATGCTTCATGTTTCCTGATGAGATGCACAAAGAATTAGCTGTAAGGTATGACAATGAAATCATAATTTAAAGTATCTACAGTTAGAGGGCTTGAAATGTTATGGTCGTTCTTCAGAACAATTGGAAACTTTGACAAGGATGTGTTTTGAATACTGCGCATCATTTATGAAAATCATCAGTCAAAGTATCGTATTCAGAAGATTGATGAAACCAAGCTAATTAGCACAAATATGTCTATTATGTAAGTAATAAGCTGACGATAGAAGTTTACAGGCTATGTTGGGAAAGTGACTAAATGAGTTTCATAGTCTTCAAGACAATTGAATGTGAGGTTGAAGGAACACAAACAATGTTTGAAAAGTGTTCTCAAATCCTCGGTTGACCTAAAGAAACTTGAGAATAAGTCGGCGATAGCGTTGGAAACATGACACAAGATCAATTTTGAAGGGACGAGAATACTTCAGAAAGGTTTTAACACTCATAAGGAAAGATTGACAACAGAAGCACTGTATATATGAGCGAATAAGAACAATATGAACAGAAAGGATGATATTCAACCACATGACTAATATTCGTTAACAAGTAATTGGACCTTTTCTCTATCCAACCTGTTTATTTTACATGCATCGTTATTTTGACTGAAGTTAATGTGGGTTATTTTAACAATACAATTGTGTATTTGATTGAAATTATGAGTCAATTGAAGCTAGACCACCATGGAAAACCTGGAAGCACTGGACAGCCGTTCTGTTATATTATGGGACTCCTCAGCAGTGGGCGTCCACGATACCGCACCCCGCGGGATTCGAACTCAAAGCCTATCAGTCTCGCGCCAGGCACTTAACAAACTAGACCACTGGGCCGGCATCTAATGGCGTTAATGTCTAACATCAACCAATCCACGAGATTGCGCGACCATCTGCCATTGTACTGGGGCAGACACCTGTTTCCACCTGACGCGGATTAACTCCACTGGTCACGGCTTCTCACCAGAACTCCGAGAATGGTCGCACAATTTCGAGGATTGGTTGAGGCTAGACATTAACGCCATTAGATGCTGGCTCAGTGGTCTAGTTGGTTAAGCGCTTGGCGCGAGACTGATGGGTCCCGGGTTCGGATCTCGCGAGGTGCGGGATCGTGGATGTGCACTGCTGAGAAGTCCCGCAGTAGGACGAAACGACCGTCCAGTGCTTCCAGGTTTCTGATGGTGGTCTAGCTTCAATTGACTCATGATTTCAATAAAAAATTTAACAATCTCCACAACCCCTAAACTGATAATTGTGTATTTGATAATTTTCATTTTATAGGCACATCGATGATTCAGAAAATGATTTTTCAACCTTCAACTTGCACTTTTATTTTTCCTTCATATAAAAACAAGTTAACACAGAATATCTACTATTAATAACTCAAACTTACACAGACATAAACACTCACATACACACAATTCATTCAGTTATTTATTTTCACATCGTGAATTTTTCACATAATTCGCATTTAACTGACCAATGTTATCCTTTTTACTAAAGTCAGCATCTAAATATGATTGGATTAACACAGTATAGATTTGATCTGATTTGATTATTGAAACGCACAGTTCTCTTTAAAACGCTATATGTTTATTTGACGATTTTGAGTGTTATCTTAAAGAAGTCCAGACAAGTGTGCTGGACGAAACGTTGGAATTATTAAAATTTCAATCACTGAGATTATTTCAAATATAATTTTCACATATAATGAATATTGAGAAGAGTTTAACAAATCAATATAGACTAAATATGATCACTTCTTTAAAAAAAAAGAATTATTCATTGACCTACCTTAAACTGTGAGGCACATAATTCACGTTCATTGAGTTGTTTAATTAAACATTCACATTTATCAACAAGATGTTCCTGTGATACTTTTAAGCCATGCAAAGCATAATCAACTTCATTACGTATAGCTTGTTCTTCATCTAGTCTTAAACTAAAGCTATCAGTCATTATTGTTGGCATTAGTGATGTTTGTGATAGCGATGATGGTATTGAATTGTCAGTCATTTGTCCATTAATTAAATTAATCAATTTCTGACCAGCTTCATAGGATTCATTCAATTGTTGACTCATATCATTCAATTCTTCTCTTAATTCAAATAAATCTTTACATTGTTCTTTATAACTATTTGAATCAAGTGGATCACGTCGAATACACGGATCATTTAAACTACAACCTGATCCGATAATATTTAATGATTCTTTAATTTTATCTAATCTATTTCTTAGATCTGAAATAATTGGCCAAAATTGTTCTGATGATGTTTTGTAAGCTGATTGTAGTGTAATTACACGTGAATTTAATTTGTTATGTAATTGTATCCAATCTGTTTGAAGTTTTTCAGCATTTTTCAAAACTAATAAATAATAATGATAAATAATAAGAAGTAGAGTAAAGAAAACTCTATGAATCTTATTAGAAAGAAAATACTATAAATATTAGAACTTTTCTTACTATGTGGTAATGAATTTTTGAGACTAATTGACCTAAAACTATATACATAACAGTCTCAGAAAGATACACACATGACAAATATGAGTTATTTAATGGTCGTGAGGAATCAGTTATAAATCGCACAGAAGCTATCGTGGTCAACAAGAACACAAACGGTGATGACTAGATGTATTAGAGCATGAAATTACACAATCTCTTAATAAAATCTGAGAACCACACAATAAATACCTTATTTGCAAAATTTCCATTAATTGTCTCGGAATTTATTTTTTCTTCATTTTCATACCAATCGCTTTCTGTTCTCGTTCTCTTCTCTTCGATCTTCTCAATCTTCTGACGCCAGGCGTCCCATTTTCGATTGGTAATACATACTACTTATATCTGTCGATATCAGTAGCACACCACACAATAATTATTCCTCTCTTTCAATACTAATTTATATGAATGATGATAGTAGCATTCATGTCAGTTTTCATCAAGGATGAAAGTCAACTGACATGTCATTGAATGTAGTGAAGCGTTGGAGTGGCTACATTCTATGCTTCAAAATAATATAAACTCAGGTAATCTTCTGTTAAAATAGTTTTATACTCTTGTCAACTAGCTAAATTTTCATGATAATCCCGGCATTAGTGTGATGATATAAAGTTATAAGTGATTGTTCTTTTTTTAAAGTCGAACTGAATTATATTTATCGCTGGTTTAGATAGAAACTAACTATGGATTTTTCGTCTTATTTGAGGCTCATTAGTTGAGAGGAGTTGTGATCAAAGTATTGATGTTTTGAATGGCAAGGGCAACAACAACAGAAATAGCGAAGACGACGACAGTAAAATAGCAAAAACATGAAACTAAAAATACTAATGCATGACCGGGATAAATTCGACTTATATTATTTATTCGTTTTCATGAATATACCAGACAATTCTAGCGACTCTACAATAACTCCTATATGAATTTATTCCAGTTTGTGGACAGACGAGTTATTTTGATCTTATTGAGTATTCTGTACACCTTTTATTCAGCTTAGTTACTTATTATTTACTTGTCAGCTTGAGCATATTTATACATGTGTGCATACTAGTACGTGTGTGTCTCTTTATTTACTTGTATTTCGTAGATCGGGTATAAAAAGTTAGTGTATGTTATCAACTTCAATGATCAACCTATTCACCACATCTCTTATTGTTTATCTGTTTCTTAATATTCGAATGTACGAAATATATTTATCCTGAACACACTTTGTATTTAACTTATTTTACACTGTAATTACTAATGCGTCTGAGTAAGTGCACGCATACGAAGTAATAAGATCTTATATTCTATTCGTCTTTATCTAACTGGAGTCAATTAAGGACTAGAGAACATTGTTTAACTACATTTAAATCATGAGCCGATCTAAATTAGACCACTATTGAAAATCTGGAAGAACTGTACGGCTGTTTTATACTAGTATGGTACTTCTCTAGGTTTTCAGTGTTGATCCAACTTAGATCAATTCATAATTTCAAAGAAATTGAACAATCTCCACGATGCCATACTGACTGTCTAACTAATCGTGTAGAACAAATATATACACACAAACACATTCACATGTACATATTTATAAAATGAAAGGGTGCATAAACATAAAAAAGTATTCTTTTAACAGCATTTCAGTACAAAGACAAAAATGTTAATAAAGGAAAAATTACAACAAATAATAAAGAAAAACAAAATAAAATCCCCATCCATTGAAATTATAAGGTATCGATAAGTAATCAGTACATTTAACATGCAGACCCTTTAATTGAACGTAGGGATGAGAAATATGTTACAATTGAATAGTTAAAAGGACTGATTACGGAAAATTCTAAAATTGCACAACATTTATGAATTGGTTTAGAAATAACGAGAACAAAATAGTGATTATATGTTGATAAACCTCGATACATATAAACAGACTGGATAGATATAAGAAAACGACTACTTTTTTCATCAAGAAAAACGATCATGTACAAAATGACATAAACGACCTCTGTCGAGAATAATTATTCGAATAATCAGAATCCTCAATAGTGAAACATCAAAAAAAAGGATATACACGTAAACTCAGTACTACTTAATAATCCTCAGTAGTTTGAGAACATTTGTTGTATTTTTAACTCAATGAACTACCTATCCCATCCACTTGTGCTTTTATTCAAATATTTTTGTTTATCTTTTACTTGTAACAGTATCTCTTTGTTCTTTCAGAATGTATTCCTTCTTTCGAATTTCATTCCTTGAAGTTCAATTTACCTTGGATGTCTTGCTTAATTGTGGAACAACGTTCATCTATTTCGTGTTTGTAACTAAAATTCATACTTGATGTATTTGTGTATTATTTTTCGATATACTGTATTCACTGAAAATTCATTATCCTTCACTTATTTCATAGGTGAAATTTCCCTCTGACTGTTTTTCTGTCGGCTACGCCAACAAACTAACACCTTATAATTTGAAGTTTGTGAAAATTCAGAATTTAAGTTGATTTCCACAGTGGTCTAATATTTTTGGGAACATCTCATCTTCTGACTCAGATTATATACATGTATATAGTAATAAGTCACTAGTACCAACGGATAGCCATCAATTTATATCACTAACCTACTAAATTTGAAAATGTGGATCATCAGATCAATTGTTAATCTACTCGCTGCAACTCTAAATAGTTTGTATTAAATCCTATGCGTTGTCACTAGTGTACACCAATGAGGAGCTCTAAACCAGAACAAAACAGTTATCTAATACGTCTTGATTTCTAACGGTTTTCTGGCTAACTGCAGTATGATGTGAAAATTATATTTACACAGTTAGTTTTGTGTTAATAACATGTGCTTACATTTAATTATTAACCATTAAATAAAATTACTATCACCAATTAAGCATGCTTTTAAATGAATAATAGACTGTCGCAGTCATTTCATTCAACTCTATAACCATTAAGAAAGAATATATGCATATCTATAAATGTATATACGATTTCTTAAAACAAATACTAACAGAAAACAAAATTATCTAAATTATACAAAACATGCACCATAAATGCTTACTGGAACTATGTAAAGCATACAATTGGCCTGGAAAATAAATACGTTGCGTAAGTTTAGAAAGAGAAATAGTAGAACAGTCAGAAGTTTCCACTAAACCTGACTGAATAGAATAATTTGGCTTGTACAGATAAACAAAATTTAAATTTTAACAATTTTTATTTCCGAGTAGCATCTGACGTACAATTACAACATAATCCCGTACATCTAGGAATAGTATTTTACTGGAAGTCAGTAACTTTAATTTCTGAAGTTACAACACCCAGTATTTTTAAGCTAGCTAATCGGTAAGTAGTACTGGAGTTCTCCAACTCAGCGGTGCTTCAAAACCTGATATAATAAACAGTAAATACTTTTGAAATGTATGCGATTTTCAGGAAAAGTTCCAGAGTTCAGCAAAATTTTCAGAGAATCAATTCAATAAATGATGTGAATAAGTTGTTCAGTTTGTTGTTTACATTATGGACTGACTTTAGTTAGACAATCACTGAAAATCTGGAGTACTGGACACTTATTTCCTTCAGGTAGTGGACTCTTCAGTACCGCTTTCAGATGAACCTTGTATGAACCAATGTCTATTTGAGAGAGGAAAGAATACGTTAATTTATCTACAGAACATGAGCAACACTGAAGAAGGGACTATGGAGAATACAATACAACAATCATACTAACCTGCTTCTAAATCAACCGATTCAATTAATTCAACTGTTTCTGGTTCACGTGTGGTAGTCGACTCTTTGACAGTTGGTTTCGACTCCAATTGAGCACGAATACTAATAGCAAGTGCTTCCAATTCCGGTAAACGACATTCCAATGCTTCCATAAGAGCAGATGTTCCACTAATATGTTCTTGTAAATGATCTGGTTGAACACTTGTCATTGAATGTATTCGGCCCAACATATCTAAAGCATGATGTTGGTCAAGTAACTGTTTTGAACTTTCATTTTGAACGTTAGATAATATGGACGGTTTAACAGTTGTACCAGATACTTCCAGAGGAACACCTAGTCTAACAGCTTGTTCTGATATAGCAGAAAACAGGTCTGACATTGAATTTAATTGCTCGACAAACTGAAATATTACAGGAAAGACATTCACACAATTGTTAAACATGAAAATTATGATACATTTGAGGAAGTACACAGTTATATTATCAATATCAATACTATTAATTGTAGTAACTGTCTAAGTTCAAATCTATTCATTCAATTTTAAAATATTCTAGATTAAATCATTGAGGAACAAAGAAAGATATAACACTAGATCTATACTACACCTTATCATTTATAAAACAACGTAAGAGATTGTGAAGTGATATATTACCAAATGAGATATTATTGTAATTCTACCAGGTAATTAACCGTTGTTCTTCAGCTGAAAAAAACGCACGGTTAATTTTTATTCAACCATATTACTTTAAGAAAAAAAGGCAGAAACTTTTCTAAATCATTCAAGAGCGTACGTAATTCAGACAATATTAGAGATGTTTTTTTCTTCACTGTGTATAGTAAAAGTAGATGAAGATGTACAACATAGAACAAAACTAATACACAAACTTGCCTCATCTGATTGTTTCAAATTGGCTTCTGCCTTGATTGCACGAGTTTTAATCAATTTACGTAAATTAGCATAATGATCACAGATTTGTTTAACTTGCAAACGAACAGTATTAGCTTCATTTGGAGCAATTAAAGATAATAATGGTCCACTTGTTCTTAAAATTCTATCCAATACAGATTTTTGACGTTCAATCTCATTATCTAAATTCTGAACATAAGAATTAGAAAGATATTAGAAAATATTTATTCACACTGAATAGTCATTGAGCAGTTACGTGTATCATATTCGTTTGATCTTTAATGCTGATCATATATCATTGATCAATATAACCACTAGTCTAAGGGACTTTATATTGAATGTTAGATGATAATAAATTAGTTCCTATATTTTGATTGTTCAGTGATATTTCTACAGTTAATATTTCTTGTGTTAATATGAAGAAACAATTTTCAAGAAATGTGGTTCAGTAATTTACACGGCTAATTATCATTCTCAGGAATTTTTCTTTTCAAACTTATTACATTTACACTTACTTCAATGTATATAGCCAGGTAGTAACATGCATATTATAAGACTTATAGGATAGAATGCTGTAATGTAGGTAGTTAATGATGTGTTTATTTTAACAAGATTTCTTAAACCTAAATAAACAGAGTTCTAAATTCTAAAAATATCTGATATAATCGTATCCAACTCAAATTATTAATGGTATTTAGTGAAATGATTTAATAACCAATTTGACGATGTCTAGTGATTCGACACTTCAAAGTATCATGGAACAGTGGAGGATATCTTGTGAGTTCCATTTCAGTTAATAAATGAATGATAAGGGATTTGTTGAGTGGTTTCATGTACATAAATTATCCTCATTCATTTCAGTAATTCGATTTGATTAGACTAGAATATATCAGTATTTTGGAATTTTGTTAATATTTTTAGTCATTGACTTCAGATAACTAATGAATTCGTCTTTCAACAAAATGAATCAGTTATATTTCAATTTAAAACACTAGAAGTTACCTTAATCATTTCAATTCGTTTACGATTACCTCCTAAATCATCAACTGTAACACTGGAATCTGAAAAATTGTCAGCGATTTCATTTTTTGTTTCTTCAATATGTTGAAGCCAGTTTTGAAATTCATACATATCAGTTGTAAAACATTTAGCTAATGGATAAACTTCAGCAAATTTAATTTCTGTTTGACTTAACCGATTATCAAGTGTTATCATTTGTTTTGAAACACTAGACACAGCATCACTTAATTCATGATAAAATTTATCCGTTGTAAATGGTACGAAAGATTTGTTTGTTTTTATAGGCGATGATGATAATGATGATTTTATAGCACTATTCTGATTAGTAGAACTTGTTGATAATGCAGATGATTGTATTATATCATGAATTTGATCGCATAATTGAGTTAAATCAATTTGATATTTTTTCCAATTCCCTTGAAATTGTTCTATTCTTTCATGTAGTTTATCTAACATAACAGGTTGATATGGTAGAACAGCTAAATAAGGAAATTCAGTACCAAGTGAATGTATAGTTGGCATTTTTTCCAATGATTCATTAATTATAAAATGATTTTCATCAGAATAATTATCCCAATCTAATGATGGTGCAGTGGATATTTTCGGATCAAAACGTTTCAACGCTAAATCTAACCATTGTGATTTGATTTCTAATTTATGCATTAATTGTTTAGCTTTTTGACGATTACTACCAACAATTTTAGCTAAATCGGTGAGCTATGTACAAATAAAAGATAAAAATAGACAAATCAATCAACATAGAATAAACAAGTAGGATACAGTATGAGATTTTATGACATGCACTGACTTTCGCATAGTACAATGATGAATACTACTTGCTACTTATAAGATATTTTGTTAACAACAGATTCATAGAAAATTGATGTTGACCTCATTAGTTTAAATAGTTTTTCGACTATATGTCCGATAGCTAATCTAGCATTTTCACATTTGTCCACCTTCGTACGCATTATAAAATACTATTCCTCACCATTGATATTATTTTCTTTTTCGTTAATCAACAGTCGGGTTAGGACATGTCATCCAAGTAGAACATTCATTATTGTTTGACTCGATCATATTAAGTCGTATTTGAAAGTAAGAAATGATCGTGGGGTTACTAATGAGTTGCTTTTCGATGAATTCCTTAGTGAGAGATCATTGCTTATGAATTTAACTGGGTAGCGAGTGAGATAGCAGCCAAATGAAAGTGTTAGGTGACAATATCTCTACGGTGAAAATTGACTGAATTTCAAAATGCAGACCAATAGATTCCGAATCAGTGACTTAAACACTTTGTGCTTGTCACGAGGCGTGAAGCGTATAATTTCCATTCTGTGTAGGGTCGTAGATGTGTGATGTTTGACAATGTCAACTTAAGACGACACAGATATTCATAGCTCTCTAGTTTCCAATATTTCTGCTACTGGGTCAATTAGAAGTGAAAGTTATGTTTAACAAATCGTGTTGATGAGCTCTTGCATTCTACTGTGGTATCTATTTTGAATGACGAACAATATTACATTTATGAATTCGATAAAGTCTTTGATAGAATGAATGCAAAATATAACACTAATTTAAACTAACCTTTTCATTGAATTCATTATATCGTCTTAATTCATTATCGATTTGTTCTACATGTCCAAGTCTAGCATCTGAATGATTAGGGAATTGTGTTGTTGTCAACGTTGAAGGATTAATAAACAGATCAATAGGTTTACATATTTGTTTTAATTGATTCCAAAGACTATGAACTTGTTGATATTGTGGTTCTAGTCCATTGATCATTTCATATTCTAATTGATCTATCAATGACTTTTCTAATTGGGCTGAAGAAACGTCTTTTGTATTGTTTTCTAGTAATCCATTAAGCTGTGATTCAACATTAAGCAAACGTGAACTAAGCGTATTCACAGAGGATGTTAAAGATTGTGCTACAGGCAAAGCAGATTCTAAAATAAACAATTTTCGTTTTGTATCTGATTGAAGTTCTTCATAAATATCACTTAGATTTACTAATCGATTTTGTATAGAATCTTCATTTACAAGAACTATAGTGGAAAGAAAACATGGAATAAAGTTTATAATGATGGTAATTACTCATAATTTGCTTATACTAACATATAAGTTTATTTTAAACTACTTAATGACTTTGACCTTTACGTCTAATAACATCTTTGTTGAATAGATAAATTCCATTTTGTTTGAGTTCCTGTGTAAACATTAACACTGGAATGCAGGTACATCCGTCTAACGAGTCCCAAATAGAAGGAAACATGTGTACTGGATTTTACTGTCATTATTATTATTAATACAATTATTACTAATGGTTACAATCTATTTACTCTTAAAGGTTCAATTTAAATTTATGCCTTGTATCTTAATGTGTAGATAAAATCTAAGTGGTTTGAGGAGTTAAATTTTAAACACAGAGTAATATGAACTTCCTATTCACTTCATCTGCTAATTTTTGAGAAGCCAGGTAGTTTCTACTAGACATAATATAAAAGAATTCAATTAAACTATTTATTTCAACAGTTGAGATCATGAGTCAATTGAAGCTGGACCACCATGGAAAACCTGGAATCACTGGACGACCGTTTCGTCCTATTGTGGGACTCTTTAGCAGTGCGCATCCACGACCCCGTCTCGCGGGATTCGAGCCCAGGACCTATCAGTCTCGCGTCAGATGCTTAACCAATAGAATACTGAGCCGCCACCCAACGGTGTCAATGTCTAACATTAACCAGTCCGCGAAATTGCGCCGCCATACACCATTGTCTTCAGTGAGCTGATATCTCACAGAAGACCTGGTTGACCTCCATACTAGGACGAAACGGCCGTCCAGTTCTTCCAGGTTTTCCGCGGTGGCCTAGCTTCAATTGACTCATGATTTCAACTATTGAAATTACTAAAATCTCCACAAAACCCCTTCTGAAAATATCATTAGTTAAAAATAAATCATTGTACTACTTACATCTACCTGATTCACATAACTGTTCACCGCTTAATTTAATCTCTTCAATAGTTGTGTGATAATTTTCAATGTCTTCTGATAAACTCTGAAAATGAAAAACAAAACAATGGTGAAAACAGTAAAAAATTGAATAAACAGTAGACATGGAGACAACAAAGAAATTTTAGTTAAAATGAATTATCTTATTCCGTTAATGTTTACAAAAAAAACAAATAATTCGTGAACAGATACTAGGATGAGTTCGAAGGATATGTAGTGTTGGTTACTGTGTTAAGCCCATACACCATATTCTAGTTTCTGGACAGGCCAGTTTATCCATTCTTCTTGAGTCACGTTTTGACCTTGTTGATTATTCACTTATCAGCCCTGACTGTTTTTTTATGCGCACATATGTGTGTAAACTTACTAAATTCATTCATCACATATTTGGCTATAAATATTGATTAACTCTTGATTAAATGGAGTTGGCTTACACGCCTTCTCCAGTGCGCGTCATTTTGTTTCGCTCTCTTCTATTCGCTTCATCTCTCACATTTCCTGTCCAGATCAGTGAGTGTACAAAATATGTGTATTCTAAAATCCATTCTCGTATTTGATTTATTTAATTCCGTTATTCACCAACGTTATTTAAGTCGATGAAATATACGAGGATAGGCGACATATGTATTTTAATAGCAATCATTCATACGATCTAAGTGGAGTCAGATCCCGGGCCACAAAAAATATATGGTGCATTTCGTTTCGCCTATTCAACAAATAAGAAATAATATATATGAATTTAAATAATTTCATTCTTTGCATCAGTGTAATTTAAATCGATCACAAGATCTCCAGTTGCCAAAGATTAAAGATAAACAGAGTAATCTTCATCACTATGTCTATGGTAAATTTAAAGTGAAATCGTGAAAATGAATATATCTGAAAGGTATTAATTGCTTTCATTATATAGAACTACAAATTTTTTTAAGTTCTAATATGACTTTGCAAGGTTAAATAAACCGCTTTTGTAACATAATCTATAGTTTCGTGGGGATATATGAACAAAGGATGAATATGATGATGCAATAAAAAGATTACAATACTAGATTACGTAATATAAATAATGACAATAAAAGTTAACAACGGATTATGATATGAATGGAGTAAGATAATTAGAAAAAATTCTAATATATAAGTACAATTGTACAACTATGTAATATATTTTATTAAGCACTATTCCTATAATCAAATATTAAATAAACTTAATATGTTCTGTCAAGATCGCAGTTGAATAAACTCATGCTACTATTAATTTGAATCCTAGTAGAAGGTCTATTCTCCTCTATGAGATGTAATAACCGCATATAAGTCAGTCAGTCAGTAACAACGTAGAACTTCGTAAGTACGTACATCAGTTCGAGTTGCCATACCACATTAGCACAAAGATACAGTTGTCGATTCAAATCCCGTAGTGTTAGAGGTAGTAAGAGTATAAGCAGTAATCCGAAAGATTAGTGTTTGAAGATGTTATTCCAGGAGTATAATCCAGTCAAATAAATTCGGAAAGAGAAAAAAAGAAAGGGACATGATAAATTCAGAAGATTAGAATTTGGGAGAACACAGAGTGGATGCACCTGCGCCATTGCAAACGATTTTCAGCCATGTCATTCAGGGTCCCTAACCATCGGTTGCTATCATCTCGCAGTCCCCAACCAGGTAGTCTACACCAACAACATGGCTCAGTCCACTTGTCAGTGACTTCATGGACTTGTGCCATGTTTTGGTCTGGCCGCCCCTAGCTTTATTCTAATATACTCCTATACCATTGAACATCGCACGTTGAGGCAGTCGGTAGTTGGGCATACGCAACACGTGTCTCAGCCATCTCAACTGATGAAGTTTCACTACTTCATCAATTGATTTTCCACCCTTACCTAGTACCCGTTTCCTAACAATTGTGTTACTTACTCGATGGTCCCAGGATATACGAGTAGTGCTTCGAAGATACCTATGATCAAATACTAGTAACCTACGAATATCCTCTACTCTTACCGTAAGTAAATATACTTATATTTAATGTTATCTATCTAAGTAAAAGACAAGACAAGGGATTATTAGAATAAAACTATAAAAGTAAATTATTCCAATCATTTTATAATATAAACATGTAACAATTCATTCAATATCAAAATGAATTCACAATAAATTTTAATATTAACAAAATATAAATATTTAAATAGTTTAGATCATGAGTCATTTGAAGCTAGACCATACCATGGAAAAATCTTCAAGCACTGGACGGCCATTTCGTCCTATTGTGAGATTTCTTTTCCATGATGGTCTAGTTTCAATTGACTTATGATTTCAACTATTGAAATTACTACAATCATTACAAAAACCCTTTTCTAATACTAAAATATAAATAATTCAATAAATAAACTTACTTTTAATTGTTTTAATTTTTCATTTAAATCAATTAAAATTGTTGTATTACCTATTGTTGTATTCGTTATTTGTATTGATTCATTTAAACAAATTTGTTTTTGTTTTAACCAATTTAATATTTGATATATTTTTTCATTAAATAATTTTTCATTTTCATTAAATAAATGAAATTTATTTAAATTAAATTGTATTTCTTTATAAACATAATTATAATCATTTTTAATTAATTGTTTTTCATTATTTAATCTATTATGAATTAATTTATTTTGTATAGATTGAATTAATTGATCTAATTGTTCAAAATGATCTAATCTTGCTAATATACGACTATTTAATGTATGATAATCATCGATTATTGATGTAATCATTTCTTGATTAGATGATGATGATAATTGATTTGAAAGTATATGAAGATCATGTTGAACCTAATTATGATAAGCATAAAAGGATTGTTTGATAATTAAACACTTTGAAAAGAAAATTGTATCAACTGAAAGACTACTATTGTCAGGACTAACACAGTCTATCTAACCTACTGTCCTTTCCAAGCTGAAACTGATTTAAGGAATATATGTAGAATTTCCAGTTGAATTCAAAAGTTAATCTACGCTAGACCATCATTTTGTCCTAGTATGAGATACCTCAGAAGACTGCATCTAAGATCATGCATGCACGTGAATACTGAACCTTTTAGTCGATTGCCTGAGGTGAATAACTGTCTTAAATCTGACACGGATTGGACTCCAATGATCATGGCTTTTCACTAGGACTACAGGAGTTACGTCTTGAAGCTAGTCACTAGTTAGAACATGAATTGTTTAAATCGAGGTTTTGTAATTAGTAGGAGAATAATTTCGGAGATTGTTCAGGAAGACTATATTCCTCTTTGATATTTACATTCCAATTACTTCATATCATGACAAGGTACATTTAAGAACTTTCGGAATCGTTTTTAAACTGTGGTTTGTTAACTTATATCTAGAAATTCAAGTGATCCTGATTACATTAACGATTATTTAGTGGATGTATGTATGTATGGTAGTTAGAAATGAGTATTGTTAGGCCTAGAATTGACTTGCCTAGTATATGTATCATTAAGAAAATATTCAGAAATCTACAAAAAAGACTAGATTCAATAATGATAATTGGCAAATCTTCTGACTGAACACTTGAATCAGTTTCCTAAGCTCTTCTAAGAACCTCAGGCTAAATGTATACGACAACTTGAACACGAGAGAAAAAGCACGAATTATGGAAGGAACTCTTTACTCCAAGGTTAGTTTGTGTACCAAAAATCGAGGGTATTTATAGCATTTCGGATGGCTTTGGGCTTTTGGAAGATTCTGGAACCCTACTAGGCATAATAGCGTGATAATTAATCATCCAATCAGAAAGGTAGCCCGTGACTCTTCACTTTCTAGATGTTTCTGAGATGCTTTCATTCAATGCTGATTAGAAAAAATGTTTTCCAGTGTTTTCAGGTCCCCTCTGGGTTTTTCTTGAGGAACACTCTGGATCTATCCAATAATGATATTACTGGTGCTTAAAAGCTGTAAAATGAAGTCAGGAAAGTCATAGTAGTTGAGTGGATATACAGGTTTGGTCGGTTCAATGGTTTATTTTCACGGTTGTTGGTTTTTCTTCATAATTCACCACTGAATAGCGTATACTATATCTTACCTAACACAAAAGTTAAGTTTAGATTAATTAGATATCTCTTGCGTTACTGAATGCACATTCAGACGAAATAAGACAACGGAAATGTAAGTAAAATTAAACAAATAAGGTACGAATTCAGGAATGTCATTTAATATCAATAAGGTATCAACAGAACGACTAAGAAGCATAATCCACTTTTAGTTAATATTCTACCCCTTTTTTACTTATTTAATTTAATACTCAGAAAGTAAATCTTCAGTATTCATGGATATACTAGACGTATCAAAGCTATTTCATTTTGATCTAAATTTTCTTACTTTAAACAATCACCTTATGCGTTTACGAAACTTTACTTAACATTGGAACAATTAACGGCACATTTTTAGTTTTGTTCGTTTGACAAAATTATAAAAAAATTCTGTATTTATGAAGTCATGATGTTTGTTAATTCAATTAAGAAATAAGGAAGAGAGTTTATAAGCTCCTTAGTCGAATGAAAAAATAAGCTTATTATAACATCGATAGATTATGCGCTCAATTTTTGTAGGAGTTTTAATCACATAATACTGAGAAATACACAATTCATCAGTTTCCAGAGGTTATTTTGTTAAGTTCACTCAACGGAGGCACAACAGAAAACATACTCAAACAACAAAAAAAACAACATATGATTATGATATGTAACATCTACCTCAACTAGAGTATCACGTAAATGTGATATCAGTCGTTCAGCTTGTTTTTCAGGTGATATAACAGATTTTGAATTGGCTAATTCTTCATGTATTACATTCTCTAATGTTTTTATTTCATATTCTAATTGATGTGAACTAATCTGTTTGTCAGATGAATCATTTGGTGATTTACACAGCTCTTCACTTAGTTCTTTCAACGATTTCATATTCGAATCTAATACATCTAATTCGTTTTGAAGATATCTAAGGAAAGAGAGAAAAATCGAAAGGAAATTAGTGGAAACAAAATTCAATAACAAAATACTAAACAATACTTGTTTTGCACTACAAGTCAATATTATACAATAAAATCATTAAAAAAGCAAATAGGTACTAAACAAATCTTGATTGCAATGAATGTTCCTACTTTAGACTCATTTTAAGTGATTCATTATGTATGCTGTGTAAATTTAAAATAAATATTTTGTGTTTTGGGGACTTTTCATTATCAAGAAGATGAATGCTCCTTTAAAAAGGTAAACAACTGTTATTGAATGTTTCAACTAAACACTTTATCACAAATAGAGTTGGGCTGTAACGCAACCGCATTTCAGATTTATTTAAGATAGTCTTGATGTCACTTTAGACAAAATTATGTTGTTGATTATCCAATCATCGATGAACAATTGGTCAAATGTGCAAAAATAAGACATGGGAATTATGTATTCCCATGAAGTGCTCTCAAGGACTAGAGATAGACAACGAATATCTGGATTATTGAAACCTGGTATCATTCAGAGATCGAGAAATGTGAGTGTTGTGATATACTAGCGTATTCATTTTTAAATGGTCAGTAGATTGTACGAATTCAGTCATCACATATGATGTTTATCACGAATCCTATTCAATTCTCCAACGTTTGCTGTTTTCCTTGTAGGGAACCAATAATTCCGGAAACTGAAAACTTCTAGATATAAACATACAGATAAAATGTACCAATCTTAAAAAGATATGTATACATTGTATCGCTTATTAGCAGTGATTTTTTGCTTTCGAAGGTCCGATGAACAAATTTTGAAGGGAATACAATATATTACTTGAAGAGAGCACTAAAGATAATGTTAACTTACTGTTCATTTAAAGGTAGTTGACGAGATTCTCTAACTTTTTTCAATGAACTATTAATATTTTGACGAAGTGTTGCCATTTGTTCTGTTTGTTTAACGCGATTATTTAATGCGCTAATAATATGATCTATTTGTTTCGACATATTATTACACTGCGTGTCATATTGATTCAGGGTTGTTAAGAAATTTGAGTAAATTGGACTAAGTTTCCTTTCATCTGGCAATGATACCATTTTATCAGCTAATTCAGAACGTCCATCATTCACATTTTGCTTGCAGTCATTAAGCTGTGGAGTAAATTAATGTATACTAATTTAAAGTGTAGTAGAACTTTGAATTGACAAGAAAATAATGTAAAAATTAGTAGATTGGAATAAAAATATAATTCAATGTGGGGTCAATGATTGCTAACTGCTGAGGAATTTAAACTAGAGTTGAGTTATCATCCGGTCTTCTTTGATTCTCTGGTTGATGTCAGTTTGTGAAGAATACTATTTCTAATGCACTGAACATCAATAAACTCTTGACTAAAGCGTATATCAGCTCCATGATAGACATGGATGAACAGGTCATATAGTAGAAACCAATATTATATAGTTTAAACTTTATTATTGTCAATATCTACTAAGAAAGTCATATTTTATATGGTGAAGTAAAAGGTTGGCTGGATTTTCATAGCATAAAAATTATTGGCTTACAGTAGTAAAAATGAATAAAATGAAGACAGACAGTTAAAATAATAAAAACGGAAGCAGTATGACTTTACTTTTACTTGTTCCAGATAGTCATATGGCTTTACGGTCTGAGATGTTCGGATTCCACAGAGAGCATTGATTCTTTCAAGATTGTAAGTACAAATTCCTGATGAGCACCAACCGATACTAAATTTAGGTCATATATTTCCTTTCAACTACCTAACAACACAGTATCGAGTCACTTAGACTCGTAACTACATTGTTACTTCATCAAGAGAATTCAATCAGCCTTAAGGACTAGACAAAGATTATAGTAATTACTATTCAGCGATTAATTATTGTAAATATGGATTTGTATTTAAAACGACAGTTGCCAGTTTTGAGTTTGTTTGAGAATACCAGTAATAATTTACATTTATTCTAAACAAAACAATATCATGTACGCCGTAAATTTGCAAGAAACTGATGGTAAATTCTATTGACCATGAATATCTTTCAATTTATTGAGTAGATTAAGGTCTCGAAAATAAGTTTATTGGAAAACCAATTTAATATTGGTTTCCTAGAGGATAATCTAAAAGAATTACTCCTAAGGTGTACATTGAAAGTGAGAAAGTTTTAAATAAATAAGGGTAATAAATTAAACAGAACTACAAATAAGAAATCGAAACTACTCATTGGTTTTTAGTAAAAAGTTATTTCACTTGTTGAAATCATGAGTCAATTGAAGCTAGACCACCATGGAAAACCTGGAAGCACTGGACGGCCGTTTTATCCTAGTATGGGACTCCTCAGCAGTGCGCATTCACAATAGTAAATTTTTACGCATATGTGATATGATAAAGTAGCAGCTAAAATTATACCGCAATTTTAGTACTAATATGAGAGATGATGCATAGATTTGATACCTTCTGAAAATGAAGCAAATAATATGTTAAGTCTAGTATTCATTACATCTATCATATTACTAACAATACGGATTGCCAGTTTATTAAAAGTTATTGTCAGATATATTATTTTTACTTTGTCTTCT